CCATGGCCTCGGTAGAGAGGCGACGCTTTTACTCGCTTTCGATGGCAGCATGAAAAACCCCTACGAGAATTTCTGCCCTATCATGGTAGTGTGGAGTTAAGGACTCCCGCTTCTGACTCCTTCAAATCTTGAAATATTTAGGGTCTGTACAATCGGAAAGGAAGGTGAATGACGTTCTACATCTTCCCTGCTCGATTGCCAACTTGCCTATGGCCTCTCATCTTGGGCCCGTACAGCATCCTCGCGACCTACCTTTTCAAAGTGCGGGTCAACGGAAGTACCATCACTAATGCTGTAACCTGCGTCAATATTAACTTGAGCGATGCTCATTTGCTCTGTTATTATGACAAGCTATCATGCAGGGAAGCGAAGTAACGGCGTTAACTGAGGTCTTTCATTTCTCTTTTGATTAAGTACTATCTTTATCACGACAGCTCACGGGATGATTAATTTAGGACACTGTCTGGAAGGGAGCGGTTTACTGCAGAGTCCAGACCAAGAACGAGACTGATTCCTTCAGAATGTCGCAATTGGTCTCTGACTTTTGTCTTTTTCTGAGTCTCAGTGCACTGTTTATCTCAAGGCTTTATGAGCCCACCAGAATTGATGCATACTACGACGCTCTACTTCAATGACGTTGAGTATGTCCTCCCGTTTTCCTTCCTCCTGGAACTTACGATACAAAATAAATATGATCTCGCAACACGTTATCGACCCCACTATATCTGGGAACAAGTTCTCGATTGTCTTGACTGCGACAATGCGACCTGGAAATTCAAATTGGTGCTCACACATACTTGCTCTCTGTCATATGTGTCTTGATCTTCTCATAATTTTCTCACTTGGAGCCTCGACAGCCCCACTCTCAACGTGTTGAATTGATTGATAGCTTGGAAATACTTCCCTGCGTCGAGTAAAATCCTGCAAAATTTCTCTTGCATTGAGTAACAAGGCGCTCGTCCTAAGTACTCCTGGCGAGCTAGGGCACACCTTGTTGCCATGTAGCAAAACTGCCAGAGTTGTATAAAAGATTCACTGGCAGTCATGTGTAGAGTATATAATGATGATTTCGACTGTCTTGACTCCAAATTTAACTTAGTCACCGACGCTCAAGTCATGGCCTGTATGACCGCCGTCAAGCTTGATCCACACATCCTTGAAAAAGATGCGGGCGCCATCGCTGAACAACTTAACATACAATCGCAACCAGCTACCGTGAGGACACTACAGATTCTTTTTCTTCGCAGCAGAGCCCAATTAGAGCCCATCCACCACAATTCCCCTATTTTCTTGTCACAATCATCATCGATTGCCCCCAGCCACACGGAAGTTGTCCCACAAGACGTCACTCTCTACCTCGAAAAACTCGTTCGAGCAGCGCAGCAGACCGCAGAATCTCACTACTACGGAAGCTTTGTTGCAGGACAAAGCAGCGAAAGCGATGAATTTGCGGATATCGGTGTATGGCTAGGAGAAGGAAATTATCAAAGAAATCACGAGAAGGAGATCTTGAACAAATTAGGGCTTATTGAATGGGCAGACGCTGAGGTGAGTGTCGGCGTACAAGATCTGGAACGCCGCGGCTATCCGTGATCGTCGTATCATCTGACGTTCTCGTGCAGATTGTTCAGATGGGCGGGCTCTATGACGAGAAGCTAAAAGTAGAGTTGGAAGGTTCCGATTCAGAAGCGAATGCTGTTAGAACGTTTCTGGACAGCCTTGAGGACTGTCATCGGTTTTTCGCGCGACGTCAGGATTCGTACTTCGCTTGCTTCCTCGTAGGCCGATCAAAGGCAGGTTGGTGTGGTCTGGCAAGCATTGGGGTGGCATCTTGAATGAAACTGAATACCGGGATGATTCTGATGCATGCTGTATGACGGTTGGACCAGAGCGATATACGAAGGGTTTGAGGTGTCCACCGCGACATATGTCCACAGTCCACTGCAGTACGATAGTCATTAACGAGTTGATCGTCATGATAGATGGAATCTGATAAATAATACAGCATGTACGACATGCTGACACAGCCACAAACCTTGCACAAACCACTCGTTGAAGTTCCTATTATGAGTAACACCACTGGCAGCACAAGTTAGCCCTGCTCTCTATTCAGCTATGTTAGGAGACTCGGAGTTGGAGTTGGGGGTGGATGCAACTCCCACTCCAACAAAAGTGATTCAAACTGCCTTGAACCTTCAAGTTGGACCTAGCACCCATGATCGTATCCAAACCCTTACAGACTTCCACATTCGTCTCCAGTCTGTCCGATATATACCTTCGTTCCTACTGAAGCATCCATCTGGATCTTCACTATCTCATGAACCCGAGTTTGCTTCTTCATTTGACCCAGCCGACCACGACTTTGCAGCTCCATTCCACACTACCCCAACACAGGACTTCCGCACCCTAAAAAGTATAGCCGACACCCTGCGCTCTGAAAAAATACAAGAAGCGTTAAAGGTTGCCCGCGAGAGCGAAGATGCAGATAAAAGCGACCTTGGCTTGTTTCAGAGAGAAAGTCGCAAACGGAAGTAAGCAATAAATTCCTCTGTCGCGACCGTACGTCATATATTTATTTTTCCATCTTTCCGGATCTTTAGGCGAGCACTTTCGCCAGTTGGCTCGCCTCAGCCTTACATACCGCCGCCACCGCGAACTTCATCATTATTCCCACATATTGATGATGAGCTTCCCTGCTTGCGCGCCGAGGGACTAGTAGAATATATTCGAGAATTCAATCGGGGTGACATAAAGTTACATCCTAGCCCAGGGACCAGTGAAGCGTTTCAGCCGAAATGTAAACTATGCCTATGGTCCAGGACACGTTCGCCACAACTTGACCGATCAATGAATCACAACACGCCGCGACTAAAGTTGACTAGTCCCGCGATCTTGCGATTCACAATCGAAGATGTACTCACCGCTTACGTCTCCCTTGTGTTCACCTGCTTGGAAGATCCACTTCTTGTAGAGAGTGTAACCGTCTTTGGCCCCAGAGAGATGGTACGCATAGGTTAACTTTTTTAAAACCTGTCTTCTGATTGTGGCTACAATGTACTTGCCGCTTTTGAATAGAAGCTGCCTCATATGCAATCCGATTATCTCGCGTTCCAAGTACTATCCCAGCATATTGCGAAAATGGTTCAGTCTCACCCACAAGTACCTCTTCAGACGCTCATTGTAAGACATTGAACCCTTATTATTGCTCATGTGCTGATTGTTCATCAAGCATCTTTTGGTATCTTATCAAGGACTTTTTGTTGATCGGTGTACTAGTTGCGAACGGGTACTCTCGGCGGAAGGTCACGTTCCTCCAGCTGGGCGGCTCTGGATTCCGAGAGGTGCTCAGCAGCCTATTGATCTCGATGCGAACAAAGGGGATGAACCCGACCATGGTGTCATCGTCAATCCAGACGCTACTCCTGCGAGAAGTCAAACCGCGGATTATTCTGATGGACATTGGGAATCACGTCATGTCACGTGTATGCACAACTGATTCATTATAATCCAGGTGCTTCGGAGCTTGGGAGATTGGGTACCAGTGACCACTCTATCCATTGCATATGTGGACTGATTCTTGGCATACGTAAAGTCTGCAGTTAACGGGCTTAGGTTTGACCCTGCATTCAATTGAGCCACAACGTGTTCTTTTGATTGAATAGTGTTCTTGGAATAGCGTACGCATGTCCGGTCCGGAATTACCTGCAAAGAGTATGCATCTTCATAAAGAGTTATCACCGCAGCCAAGTTAATGCCAATCTGATAACACTTGATACTAACATTGATTTTTTTTGAGTTCATCTATAGGCTCGGCACTATCACAGATGGAGTAAAAACCGCCAAGTCGACATTGCAGCTTGTATATAGTAGTGCGTCCTTACCTTACTTTTCCCTCACTTGTGTGCCTTTCATATGGACTAGGCTGCGAGTGAGGTGACATGTGGCGTGGCTACTGTCCCACTGGTCCCGCGGTAGGCTGTTTGCATACTTATCGAGATAGATGCTCAAGTCCAACCAAAAACATCGTACACATGATTTTCTTGCACACGAATGAAATACACTGACAAAGATAGGCTGAACGCGATATGTCAAACAAAATTAGTAAGCGCGCTAGGCACCAGGTTGATTGTCGATCACCTTCATCGTGTCTCCCCCCTGTCAGTCATTGGCCCGTCGCAGCCCGTCGCTAAGCTATTGTCCTGCTGGACCCCACTTTCTATTTGATATTTCCGCAGTCTATTGTTCTTCAAGGAAGCCCTTTCACCGGTGGATGATATCTATAGACAACTCCGCGAGGACAGTTTATGCCATTAAAGGTTTACCACCATCATTTCTGATGATGGGGGTTGTACCAAAAAATTTGAATAAATAAATAAATTTTGAGTGTTGACGTTGAGGTGCCAAGTCGCTATCTTGGGATCGGCGTTGACTAGACCCAAAGGGACCGAAGGCACAATTTCTATTTGGAATAAAACCGAATGCGGTATGCTCTTGTTTTGGACGAAAAAGGCAGGAATGGGCACGAGGCTACTAAACGATCCCAGTGGCAAAATTCAAGTAAGTTGGTGTGTCCATTGTAAATACCATAGAACGCTTAACAGGCCATGCATCTCCTTTATTCCTCGTTTATCATAGCTTCGAGTTTATATTAAATATAGTATCGAGTTTATTTTACTCAACAACGTTCTCGCCTCCTATATATCTCGCCTCTTTTTATATGTAACTCTTTCTGTCCCCACATTCGATCACGTCTGCCCTCAAATTTCGCCATCGCAACTTTGACTGCAGTCAGCCACTCCCCCCGTCCCTCTCTTCCTTTCTTTCTCTCCACTCAGTCAGCCGCACCACCAAATCGTCGTATTCCCTCCTTCACTCGCCACTTGTGAAGCATTTTAAAACTTAGAATACTTCACTTACCACTATTAGAACCGTCTGTCGGCATAAATTAGGTGAGGTTATCTCATCAACGCCCACAGTTTAAGTCACTGATCCGAGTAGGAATGACTACCCAGTCCATGCCGGCATACGGCATTCAGTCTAAAGACACTCAAGAACCTTCCAGCGGTGGCGAGGCCCATGTCCTTAACAGTCCGACAGTCGGACGTCAGAGCGTTATAGTGCCTCCCGGCTCATACCCGAGCGCTCCTTCTTCTTCCATTGGCATTTTGCACGTCTTAGGTTATACCCCCGCCGAAGGAGAACAGAACGTTCCCGTCGTCGTGAATTTCAATTGCACGGCTGATCTCGCTGCCGGATCCCACATTCGTCTCGTTGTCGGTCGACGAGCTGTGGGTACCAAGGTCCGTGAGCTTGGACCACCTGGCCACGGCCATTGGCAACTCGAGGCAAACGTTCCTCTGTTCTCCCGCCATAACACTACATCACCAAACCTACCCTTGACAATTCAGGCCTTGGCCGATGATAAGACAGTACTAGACTCTGTCACATTCGGTGAATTCACATACTGGGAATTAGGTATGAATGTCATAGTATCCCGAAACAGTATTCTGACTACAGATCCCAGCAGAGCGTGAAAAAAATACGACCACTATGATGCGAAAGCACACACCTAGTCTCTCGTCAAATAGTTCAGCCCTCACACGGACTGCACCTACCGTTGTTGCCTCACTTCCGGAGTCGTCGGATAGGCTAAGGAGACGGTCTAAGCCATACAGCCGTCCTTCAACCCCAGCGTCGTCTTCAGATTCAGAAGCCGGCCAGTCACAGGTGCAAAAATCATTGGCGCGCCCTCAGCCACAAATACAGGGTCTTCGGCGCATGAGGCAAGCGATCGATATCTCCGAAGACGGTGCCACTGCAAGCCTTGACATCATGGTCGTGCTTGACAGCTTCTGCTATAACTGGGATGATTTGGAAATGCAAGCTGGCAGGCGCCTTGTTCGCTTCTCACGTATCCGAGACGGGAATAAACTCCTCGTTTCGGCGGAGCGCATCTCACCGGGCGACTATGATGCAAAAGACATTGTTATCTCATGCATCTATCGTGACGAGACTGACTCATGCTGCGTTACGTCCGTTGACATCATCCATTTGCTCCAGAGGCTCGTCGCCGCAGAGTTCGTCGTTGAGGAAAAGAATCGTATTAGACGGAACCTCGAAGGCCTACGGCCTACCACTGTCTCAAAGTCGCGTCCAGGTTTTGAAAGTTTATTCCAGCGCATCATGGATTTCCCAGATCCCAAACCGCGGAAGATCGAAAAAGATCTCAAGGTCTTCGATTGGAAGTTGCTTCCCCAAGCATTGGATAAAATTATATCTAAATACGTAAGCAATATCCTTCCATTCCTACTCCAGACTAGTCACTAAGTGACTTACAGTCCCTGAGCAACTTTGGGCCTATTCCAACAAAGGAAAGCAGTCACTCAGTTTCCTATCAGACGCCTACACAGCGGACCCACATACAACCCAAACTGGAGTTCTGTCCGTCATTTGGCGATGGCGTTCATTTGGAGGGATCACACGGGTCCCAGTCGCATTTCTCACAGTTTTCTCAACCGTCGTGTTTGCGCCAATCGCCTCAGCTAGAGTCACCCATTGAAGATTCCCTATTCTACCACATGCCGGAAGACCATCTCCAGTCAGTGTACGTGAACCCAGACGTAGTTCCCAGGTATTATCCAGGCCACGAATCTTATTTCGTCCCGAGCATGGATCCTTCGCACTATCCAGTAGATCCCTCGATGGCACTTGCAAATGCGCCGTCACCTATGTCACCGCTTAGCGCTTACCACCACAATTCGCCTTGGGACTTGCAAAGTCGGGACAATGTCACCATCCCTTCAAGTGTACCTGCCGACCATCAGCAGCGTCCTGCCTTTGATTTCATTCCCTCCCACGAACCCTTCGACATGTATTCCATCCCCCAGTATGCCATGCACACCTATGACTCGTTCGAATTCCAGACGTTGCGAGAGCACAGCATGAATGCTTCCTTGGCTAGTCAAGTCGCATGATCATTCATTCTACTCATCCGTGCTATACATTATCCTTGCGTCATCACTTATGTGCTCTATCCTATCTTTATTTCTCTCTTACCCTCTATTGTATTATCACTCTTTTCGTCTCTGGAGAGCCATGCTTTGATATTCGTATGGGCCATTGTAATCACCGTTACATCTCTCCTAATGTACTGTATTGGCATGTAATCCATTGGGGTATCAATCATGTAACTGTATATTCAATACGAACAGCGAACTAGGTGTCAGTGAAAACGAAGGACAGCAGGAATCAAACAAGTTCGACATGTAGTAGATAATCCAGGAATGAAATACTGAAACTAGGAAACTAAGTGTACAACAACTAAACTAGTATCAACCTCGACGATTACGCGTAAGGCTGCCGAATCGTGACGACAAGCGGCCTTTGATAGAATTCACGCTCCCTATAGTCGACATCGTCACAGAGGCACCAGAGTGTGCTGGGCCTGTGTTTCCAACCGTGATTAATGAGTCCCGTGGAGAACCCGTGTTAGCATCACTTGGAGTATCTCGCCAGCTAGTCAACACTCCGTTGATACCGTGACGAGCAACGTGCGCAGCGTGCACCTGCAACGGGGTGCGCTTGACGCCTTCATGATGATAAGAGACTGGGGGACGCGATGACAGCGGTGAAATTGGTTGAGGGCTCATGGATGAACCACCGACTGAAAGAGGGAATCCAAAGGACGGTCGTCCCGATGAGATAGACAGCGACCGTTGATGGGAATGATTGTCATACAACGAGTTTTGATCGTGAGCCCGTACCGAGGCGGCAGACGATTGTGGGAGGTGTTGGAAACCGTTTTCTGCAGCTATACGCTGGATTTCTTCGGCAAAGTTTTTTCTGAAGAGCTCTTCCAAGGTTTGATGGAACCGTAACATCTCTTGTGGACAGATCTGACCATGTAATTTCAGGCAGCTGTCTGTCACCCGCACCTATATCGCTGGTAAACAAATTGGGCAACTTTTTGACAGTGATCCTCGAACGCACCTGGTCATCTATTGCGGCTCTGAGACGGTGGATCATTTCGACCCTATCAGGGTACTTGGTAGAGTACACTGGATCAAAGAATATTTCACGATAAGCCGGAAGTCCATCCACAGGCGGGTCAACAGCTCCATTGAGGCTCATAGAAAGAGCATTTGTCGAGAAGACCTGGGCAGTTTTTGCAAGAGCAGCATACCGCAGGTGGAATGAGGCTAATTCCCTCGACTTTTGTTCGACCTCATGGAGAGCATTTTCTACAGGCGATATTTCGGCTACTTCCCATTCTGTAATGTCCGATCTCCGAAGGACAGTGGGGAAAGCTTGTTCGGTAGTAAAGGACGTCTTCTCCAGCCATATCTCCTCATTGCCATCGCGATCAAACTTTGTTATTTGCTTAGTGGAGCTGAAGACATTGATGGCACTGTCCGGAATCATTAGTTGCGCACAGCTTAGTGAAATGAAGGAACTAACCTGTGTTCATAGTAATTACGAATAGCCAGTGGTACATCGGGACTGGTGAAAATGGGAAGGGTCCGGTCCGGTTCGGGAGTCACAGCAGTACACTGGACGTACTGATCATTGCCAAATCGCTGATCTACTGTGGGGTCGTTCTTTAGCAACTGAGCGCCCGGGTGTTTGTTAAGCAGCCGCTCGCAGAAAGTGCCAAATTTCTCCCATTCGTATCCACGGTACTGCATACAAAATTTTCAGTGAATATATCAAAGACAGGTTATGACTGACGTACGATGAATTGTTTATTCCTCAAGGCGTCAGGGAAGTCTCCATAAAATACCACTCTGAAATAGTCTGAGTAATAACGCTGGTCTGTGATGATATGCTCGAACAATGCAGCCTGATGACGCAAAATTTCTGCCAGCCGCGCACTACAAATATGATTGGAATCAGTCAATAGATAGCGAGGCGTCGCAGGTACATACTAGTTGAATGTAACCTCGGCGTGCTGCTTTGCCAACTCTTTACAAATTTCGATTGCGCTCTCATATGCCTTGCCTTTGCCTACACAATACTAAGGATCCACCGGAAAGTATAGGAGCTGTGCGGTGGACTCACCCAAGTAATCCAAAATCAATAAGCACAGGGTCTCCTTCCGATGGAAATGAGATTGTTGAGGCAGCCCAAGGTCCTCCATGGGTCCCACAAACGAGTAAAGATCCCAATTATGCAAATCAGAATGGAGCTTTAGAGTCAACGCAGCTTCCACGTAATTTTGCGATTGTAGGTGGGCCTTCGAACATATCAGTATAGATCAATCCTTAACAACACAATGACTCACGTTGACCAACTGGTGCACGTATTTGATGTACATCTCTTCCCTACCAATGTCGCGGATGAAGTTCATCAGGCGCAGCTGGGAGAAGAAAGTATTTGAGAATCTTGTTCGGGTGCTCAATGGATATAAAGGTACTCACAGTGGCAATCACACGGTCATCAGCGAACTCTTCGCCCTCAGGCAGTCTGCGAACGTTAAGCAGAAGCTTAAGGAAGGCATCTACCGAATCAAGGAAAGCCGAGACGCGCTCCCTAAGTTGATCGTCGACCTCGGACGACTCAAATAGGTGCCGTAATTGTGCAATGAAGAACACGCGAGAGATGTCATCGCCCTTGGACTGGGACATGAAGAGGGAATCTAGCTTCCTGACCAGTTCCGTCTCGATCTGGTCAAAGTGGCCGTATTGATGGTATTCTGAAATGATCATACCGAACAAGATCCCGACCGCATTGTTTCTTAGCTGGTCGTGGTGACTAAGACAGAGATTTACGATGTACCCGATCAACGAGCTCAGTACCGCTTGGTAACCCTGAATATTGTAAGTAATTCAGATAAGATCCAGTATTAGAAAACACGCACCCCTTGAGAGACAGAGCTGGATTCTGTCGGTTCTGGCCAGGCAAGGGCCTCCCATAACCGAAGCAGTATGTCTGCACCTTCACCTCGAATATCGCCTCCCAGACGCCATACGGCACGCCGTTTCTGAATCCCAACGTGAGAACATATAATACAGAATACGATCATACGTGCCTGTGGACTGAAATCTTCAATTACAAGCTGCTCTGATGATAAAAGCTTCAGCAACATGAAGAAAGCGTCCTTCCACAATTCCGTCTTGAACTGATGCGATGCTGACGGTGCGGGTATGAAAATCCGCTTTAGAAGCGTGGCAACAGGATCCATCATCTTGATCAACACCTTGTGCGTCAGGATGTTCACATTCAACCAGTTGCTTGGGAAGGCATCATTCTCTAGTATAGATGTTGCAACCTTGAAAAACTGCGTCAGCAGACTGGCGAAGTTTTCCTTCCCTTCAATGTCATAACTAGACTCCAAAAAATTGTAGATGTGCTTCGTCGGAGCCGAGAGTACAAGGGAAAGGAGGACTATGGCTGTCTCGCCCAAGCCAGGATTGAAGAGCAAGTTATCTTCGTGCGTCAGCGATGTGCTGGTAGCATTCCGGGGAGCATTGGGCAATAAAGCCATGAGAGAAAATGGATAAGACTCCGGGAATGTAATAGGTACTGCAGCGGTAGTTGTGGTTGGAGTGCGCGTCCGTTCCACTGCACGGTGATTAGCCGGACTCTGGAACTCGCGATAAGAGTCGAGAAGCCTGCAGGACCATGAATACATCATAACTATGCTAGTAGAGAGAATACGTACCTCGGCATGAGCATAAGTATATACTCGATGTTTTCCTGTTCCTGCCTGAACAAATTGCGATTCGCCATAACCGATGACGACACCAACTGCAGCTGTAACTTGTCTAGCATTACCGCAAGAATCGTCACACAAAGCCTGATAGACTCCAACCAGCTAACCCTTGCTGCATCACGCACGCTATCAGAATCCGCTGTAGTGGTCTGCGTGAACTCGTCATAGCGGCCGAAGTGAGGCTTGATCCACATAACGACAGCTTGAACGAGCAATGATCGCGAGTTGGGGTTATCGAACAAGAAACCTTTGACGATCTGCAAGTACATGATCAACCGCCATATGATAATCTTGCCCTTGCCAGTCGAGATGGCATTGACAAAGTTCGTAGCAACCGTCACAAGTTCGATGGTGGGGATAATCTTGGCAAGTTCTGGAAGGATGGAGGTAAAGTGCTGCAATGCAATGGTCTGTGCGCCGATTATAGACGCTGGTGACGTAGTCGCCATCATCTTGTTAACTTCAGTGAGATGAATACGAATTTCTTTCTTGAACATCGCCTCCAAGTGCTCAGCGGTTGCTCCGTCACCCATGCCCAACTCAGTGCTCTTCTTGAGTTCTCGTGCGCGCGTGATGAACTTGAAGATATAATGCCAAACCTTGAGCGCTGCGCGTAAAGGCGAGGCCGAGTCATTGCCGGTCGGATTACGCAGTAGACGGTCCATCGAGCGGATCATGTGCGAAGAAGCTGCAGCGCAATTGAAATGCTGTTCAATGTAAACATCCAAGACGGGCTGGAAATTGCTGAATCGACGATCTTGCACGATACCGAGGACAGTTACCAGGGCATTGAAGACGAGATGGTCCATCTCACCGGCCTGGTTGTTCTGCGACTCCATGATACCGAAGAGCGAATCGAAGATGTCCCTGAGGAATTTGACGATTTCTCCTTCGCCCACGAAGGTAAACTTGGTGAGGACGGTCTGCAGTAGTTCCTTGTCGTTGATTTCCTCCCAGTTGAGTAAACTCATGAGCACAGGGTTCTGTGTAAACTTTGTGGAACAGAGAGATGACCGTATTATGACGGTGTCTCTCATGGGCGAAGCCAGCCTCAGCAAGTCTGGCGATACGAGAACTTGCTCAGGGCGCTGTCCGGGGAGTACCCACGGTGACGATGCCAAATACATGTCCGGCGTGATTTGTGGGAGCTTATCTGCGCGGTACAGTACTAAAGTATGGCTCCCATCCTCCAAAAATGCTCCTTGACCTGGGAAGAGTGGCTGAAATGCAAACGCGAACGGCTTATCCGCATTGAGCCCTCGTCCAGAGCGATTCCGGAATGTAAAGAACAGGTGCCAGTTGGGAATCCCGCGAAGTGGAAGCTGGAGTTTGATGAGCTCGCCGAATGTCGGTTGATTGTTACGCATGAAAACCATTGAATGGAACTGAGTTACACTGGGCTCGCCACTACCCAGAGATATTGCATTCTCAATGGTGCGACCTTCTTGATCTCTGACTTCGATCGATACCTGAGCGTTTTGAGACACTGGACCAGGACGCGTGAAATTGACCATGCTGAGTCGTGCGGAGCCGCTGGGGGAGGATGGGAAGTCCCCTGTCCATAACTTGATGTAGAGCTCGTTGCGCACATCTCCAGGAAACACCACGTCAGGGAATCCAAGTCGGAGGGTCAACGGGATGCCTTGAAGAAGAGACATATTCTCTCTGATAATGGTAGATGAGTCGCCATGGAATATCTTCACAGAAACAGCAAGCATCGCAGCCCTGGTCGCAACGTCAGGACACGTAACGGATAATCGATATCGTTATGCTCACCTTGGCGGCTTCTCGAACTCCTTCGAATTATTTGCGATGATGTCCTGATGTAACATCGAGAAGAGTGCTTCATTGGTAGGCACAAAGATCTGCATGCTGTACTCCTTCATCGGGCTCACATCTGTACCATCGATCATCATCTTCGTGAGCTGTGATAGCTCGAGCACTGCGCAACCAAATGGCCGACGGAAGTTCATCGGGACATCCGATATCAAAGTCGTACGGGAGGGTGTCAATGGGACATCAGACAGCGATACTTCAGACGGCCTACGCCCGCCATCACCAGGTGCACCTGATCCCATAGTGTTATTCATCTTGAGCGCGCCGTTCCGCACGATACGACAAACCAGGAATAGCGGGTCCTGCGCATCCGACTGCGCGATATCAGTAAAGAGCGAGCGGATGCGGGCGTTGGGGTCACGTGACAGCACACCGTTGTGATTGAGTACGATGCAGCACTCTTCGGTAACGAACCGCGGGAATTCAGAGTGCTTGTAAACCGAAAAGAAAAGCTCGGCCGTCTCGCCTGGTGCACAAGGGGTCGCAACAAAAGCGCGGAGATCAAGGAAAATGTGGTAAAATTTAGCTGCAGTTGGCTTCTCAGGCTGGTGTGGACCCAGGGAACCGACCTGCCGGGAGATGGTTTTGTGTCGGGATATATCAGGGAATGCAGAATGTGCAAGAGTGGGTGTGGGTATCGTGGAGAATTCGGAAGGTCCGATGGTAAGCTTGGATGAGTTGTCTAAGGGTACATTGATATATGCGAGAGAAGTTTGCATGGCATACATCCGCACAGCGCTGACCCAGCTGCGAGGGTCGATCTCGCCCTCTACATCCACTGTTACTAGTGCACCCCATGTCGGATGGCGAACGATAATATCGAGATCCTGCACCACATTGCCGCTCACCAGGCGCGCAACGCAATCCCTCCTCAGACTGACTGTCTCCTCTGCGCTCAATGTTTGCGCAAGTAACTGTCTTCGTCCAAGGTGGAGCGCTTCGATATGCTCGCGAACTGTATGGAAGAGCTTGTAATCGCGCCTTGCGAGGTACTGGAACATCATGCTATGCCATTCTCGAAGGGCGCTAGCAATCTCGTCGATGATGGGCTGCATCGCACCAGAGGCTGTATCATCACCTGACTTTAAAGATGGACGTGGAGGAAGGGGCTTCATATTTTCGGATTCTGGAACGGAGTGTATGCTCGCAGGATATACGACAAGCGCAGCACGAGTGGACTTGGCTTGGTCTGGCGGGGGCCCAAGTTTGAATGATTTGCGTTCATCGTCATATGTCAGTTCTCTGACTTCCCGGTCTCTATCTCTGTGGTCGCGAGGAGGTTCTGGGCCTGAGTTTGCGCGCTCACGCTTCCATTGTGCAAGGTAGTCTGCACTGGTTACTGAGCCATTGTGGTTCGAGATGCTGGCTGTAAGGGAAGTGACAAGATCTGGCAGACGTCCTTCGGCGTCTGAGAGCTCATCACGGACAAAGATATGGGATGCAGGAAATATGCCAATGAAAACCTGTTGCGGTTCCTCGGTTTTGACTGGTTTGGCGGATGAAGATGAAGTTGGGTCAGAGGAGGTAGACCAGGTGACTGGTGGAAGGCGGGCAGTGCAGACTACGTAGCTGTAGGTTATTACAGTAGTAAGCACTCAAGACGATACGAGAATTCCGTTATCAGTATAACGCACCCTCTGTACCATATGCCATCCGCTTGGTTTCCTCTTGGGGTATACTTTTCGAAGGCATAGACCTCATCGCCAACTTCGAGGGAGACCACATCCCTGTGTACACCACTCTCATCTGCGGAGCCCTCTGTAATAGTCGACATGGGCCGACGACTTGACAGTCTGGTATCGCGTTTGGAGGGTGATAGTGGATGGACGGCATAGCCATAGACGATGAGCGGTAAGGGCTCCCAAACGCCCTTGCGCTGTGCGTTTGCAGAGCCCATCTTCGTATTATTGTTTATATGATTAGCCAAAAGGCAGTTAAGTCGGTGGAGATGTTTACCAAGGTTACTAGAAGACTGCTGAAACGACGTCCTGGCTCGATAGCGCGTAATGAAACCGCAAAGACCTTTTACAAGCTAGCACTTATACAGGTCGTGGATAGAGATAGAAAAGCTCGAAGCGCGTCACGGTTGCACGAGCTGGGAATTTGGTCGAGCACGTTGCATAACAAGGCTTCATATAAGTAATTCATTTTCATTGGCAACGATGCCAGCATCATGATCATCACATCAACAACATTGCCAGTTGTACATGTAAACATTGCCATTCGTTTTCTTTCCGTCTACAATGTATCAACAACTTACAAGCTAGTCCTAGCCATCAGCGGCTGTCTATTTCGGATCCCTTGGCAGGCGGATCTACTCCACAGACTCAAGTCATGTGGAACAAGGGAAATTTCATTTTAGCAGGGAGCCGCGGCGATCCTTCAGTTCTAATCATTTTTTGCATGAATGGCACATGCATCCAGCGTACACCGATACGTTCGTTCGCGTGTCGGGGTTTAATTCAACGACTAATGAACGAGTCAAATCCTTTTGATCCTCTGGTGATAAGCCATAACGTTGCCGAAGAAACGGTGCTGTGCATCTCCTGATGATCTGCGTCGACAAGTGCTGCGCTCGATGGCCCATGGCCCGGGGATGGAAGGGTTCTCCCCCAAAAGTATGCTCCCGGACCATATCCCGTGCTCATTGTTATTGGGGATTCCAATGGCGAAAAGACACGGGACATGGATACTGGCTAGTTTTCTCGCGCAATCCAATCGATGGTGGCTCATAGAGCTGTCCATCAGGCCATGGAACAAAAAAATCGTAACAGCGCTTGGTGCCAGTCCCTGACTCCTCCGAGGCAAATCTCAGAATTTGACCAATTGCAATAGCTTTCGATTCCAAGCGCACACAATTGTCTGTAAGGTTTCTTGCTACAATGGATCTTTCGCCATGGCGATATTGATGATAGCTTGCTGATACAAGTACACTGTGTCTACGTGCTCAGCGCCACTAACTTGTCAGCAGTTCATATCATACTGATATCTCCTCACTTGCTTGCAGGAACTTTTCATGTATGAACCATATCCCTTGTTCGCTATCTCTCCCAAAATAGTAAGGATTTCACCATCACGTCAATTCAATACCCTCTGTGGCTTCCTGGTATTGGCGAGGATTTCGTGGTCGGTCCTAGGGAGATCGATGCCCCTGGCCTTGGCGATTTCGAATGCTCTGAACCCTTTGGATTGAAAAATTCATGAAAATGTTCATTTTCTTCAAGTCCTACCCGGCAAACATCGGTGAAGAGGCTGTTGGCGCTGTGGAAGCCGTTGGTGATGGCGTCGCTGATTTCAAGTAAGGGAATAGGGTGTAAGTGATGTCAAAAATAGTAAGTAGGACCGTATTAACGTTTCTGCAGACTTTTAAAGCGTATATGAGTAACAAGTTTTCCACCTTCCAACAATACTGCACCATTGCTGACTTGGCTGTAAAGGCCTCGTAGGCTACAACAAAATCGAGATCCCGCGCATTGATTCTTCTCTATATCCAGGGAATATCTCTTTCGACCCAGCGGCTTCCGTGCAGGTTGGCATCATACCCATCGTCTTTACCTTGTAATGCACAACAGCTTGCAGGACTAGGTCACCTTACGCCATGGGAATAGCGAGTATGCTGGGCAACCTATCATCATCATTGGTGGCACATCGCGGCATGATTCTCGAAAATTCAGCTTTGTTCCTTGTTAAGTGTCCACAAAGTACATATCGTTCGCAACTAATTCAACCGTCAGGTTGCCTGTCAAGATTGTATCCAATGGCGATCGTGGTGGCTGACCCAAAACTTAAGCCGGGTTCAGCTGGTTCACGAACATCGACGAAGGCGTTCAAGTTGTGTATCTCGCCGCACGTTTCCTTCACCGATGTTCGCGGACGCGTAAACAAGGTTGAGGGTAGCATCACTCCCCGAGAGAATTTCATTACATTACGTCAATGAAAGCAGCAGGCGGAAGCAATCAAATCGATCAAATATCGAACTTGACGACCTGCTCCCCGCTCCCTCGCTCAATTTTGATCAACTTCTTTGCCACACAGGCATAGATCGTTCGCGTGCCACCCGCGCTACCACCACCTTCCGCTAGCGCTTCCTTAAGTTTATTGAGCGACATCGAGCAACCGGGCTGTTTGAGTAGAGTGAGCAAAAGCTGACAAGTTGTGATTTGTTGCGAGGTAGGCTGGCCAAGGATCATAGATGGCGCAAGCGATGAAAACGAGGATGCAGTCGGGGATGTAGGCGAGGGGGTCTGAGAGGAGAGGGATTCGAGATGGGCACTAGGATATGTCAGTAGATTAGATATGAAAAAAATGAAGTCAACGTACAGAGTTTCCTTTGCCCTTGGAGGTTTGCTTCCTGATCCCGTGGGGTCGAAAGGATGGCCCGGCATGATGATCTCGCCCACTGTGCTCCATATCTTCACCTATCAAACGCTGCTTCAGCTCTATGCGCTTTTGGGTTATATGACCAGGATACTTGCCACAATCTTTTCGATCTCTACATTCATGCGCACTTTTGGTTTTCTAGCGGACCCAGGAGGTCCTGCAGGAGTCTGCAATTCTGAAATTGTAGGCAACGGTGTTTCAGGAGGCGTAGTGCCTTCTGGCGGAGTGGAATTTGGTAGTAACGATGAAGGCAGCATCTTGAGCACAACTGTTTGTTCTCCCTCTTCATCATCCACCTCCAGCTCACTGCCTGGGGGTTCTTCCTCGAGCTTGTCTGATGGATCAGATACCACAGAATCGTCCTGCCCAATATCGTGTTCTTCGTTATCTAGGCAATCATCGTCCACAGGAAGACCTAGCGATGATAATACGGATCGAGGACGGGGAACCGGGCTCGTGAAGGACATAACTGATACGTCATTGATGTCCACCTCCTCATCCATGAGCTTTTCGGTGAAGCGAAGCGTCCGCGCGGATGCGGCAGGCGTATTCCAGAACATCTCTTCCTGGGCCTCGGGTACAGTGAGAGGTGAAGGAGCCCTAGCCAGTCTCGGCGCGGACTTGGACTCGGGCGCAGGATTGGAGGTGCGAAGGATGTCATCTTTCTGTCAAGGTGTAAATTTAAAGGATGCATGAACATGATAGGCACACACCTGTTTACGCAGTTCGGTAAGACGAGCCTGGAGATCTTGTATGCGCCGTTCCTCGTCTGCCGCAGTGGACTCCTGCGAGCTGGGGTCTGATGCGGGATTGCTACTTGTTAACTGCACGGAGAACATCAAAACCTTCGAGGCCAAATATTAACAATACCAACCTGCTGTAATGTTTCACTAAGACTTCTGATATTCCGTCGCGCTTCATCCAGCCTGTTTATAAGTCCCTGTACCTGGGATCGCGCACGAGGCATTGGGCGGATTGAGTGACTGAAATACAGCACAAGACAGGTTGAAACAGGATATATGCTGTAGAAAAATGCAAAACATACTACCGATCCAAGTACTTTAATGCGGCCTGGGCATATACTTCTGGCTCATATTCTCTCGGTTTTGTCATCTCCTGCCTTCGAGAAGGTGGTTTCTTCAGAGGCGTAGCACCAGGGAATTCTACACGGGATATTACACCTCTCGCTTCAGACTCAGTTGGGACATGAGACGGTGGGTGTACCAGTGTGAAGAGCCCGAGTTCGGATGAGTCGATGTCACGAATCAGATCACCTAGAGCAGTATTAAGGACAGCTGTTGTGAAGAGCCCATCTGAGGTGGGAAACCCATCAGCACTGGCTTTAATCGATTTCGAGAGGGAGGCCAGATGGTCAATCTGGTCGGATAGAGAGGGCATTACACTGCAATTCACAAGGACGCGACGCACAGGCAATGAGTTGACGATCTTGGCTGTATCTCACGTGACTCGCTCTCAAATTTGACGAATCTAGATAAAAAAAATAGAACATCCGATGCAAAGCCGATTCTAAAATGCTTGTATTCTATTTGAGTCCGAGGCACGAGGACATAGATAGAATTAGGTCTATGTGGCGAAACGGTTCTTTTGGTTTTCCCACCTTCTTGCTTCCTACTACAACGTTAGTACTCGCAACCACTCCGCTCCTAGACTACGCTCTCCGTTCGTCGCATTCTTTCCGTATACCAGAATTTTGATTATTACATCTAAAATGCCGAGGATACGAAACGACCCAAATCTCAACATTTGCCCGGACTACGCATCGGAGGTTTTTGCGAACATCCGCGCTCAGCTAGTCAATGAGAACACGACCGAAGCACAAGCAATGCAATTGCTTCGGAACATCTGGGAAGTGAACAACGACGCAATCAAAGTGCTTTGGCAACAGCAAGTAGATGAGGATAGTGTTGGACTCAGTCGTACATGATGACTGTACGAGCACAGGAGTAAAAGGATTAGTAATACATACATAGATGAATAATGTAGGGAACACCGACTTACCCGGGAATAGCCGGAGCGGTGTCGATTAGTAAGCACAGCACGGAGAACAGACAAGTCCGTTTTCATATGTTTCGGATCGGACGCATAGTATTAACCGTTTAACAGTATATATATTGTACGAAGTAGTTACAATGAAGAAAGCCTTTTTATCAAATATTCTACTCTAAAACATCTACTCTAAACTACAGATAACTACAGGTTATGAGCCCTGCTCCGACAATCATGGATAACACGCACCACAGCAGCTCCTCATTGTACACCATCCCCAAACTTGCCGACGATGGCTCGAATTGGATAACCTACAAGGAAAGAGCGTTAACAGTGATCCGCGCACGAGGATTGATGCGATACCTTGATGGTCGAATCAAAGAACCTACCCCATACAAGACCAACTCGGCTGGAAAGTACGAAAAGGCTGATGGCACGGTAGCAACTGAAACAGAAGTAGAAGAACTTGAAGAGAAGATAGATGAATATCTACAGAAGGACTCACTCGCAAAGCAACACTTATTTAGCACGATCTCGGATCAGCTATTGTTGCGCGTCCAGCACCTTGGCAACGCCTCGAAGATATGGTCCGAAATTCGGACAATACACGAAGGCAAGACAGAATTAGTTCAAATAGATCTGCGCCGGAAGTTGCAAGAATCAAGATGTGAGGAAGGAGGTGATGTGAAGACTCACTTTGGGGACATGTTTCGCATCCGCGAAACGCTAGCAGGCATGGGGGCGAGCATAGAAGAAAAGGACTTCTACGCAATTATAATGGGATCTCTGCCAGAATCTTACAGACCCCTGTTATCGTCAATCAATGCGACAGCCCGAATCACAAAGCAACCACTCACCCCATACGAGCTAGTCAGTGTCGTCTCTGAAGAGTACGAGCACAGACAACTAGCAAACCCAAAGACCTCAAAGAAAGGAGGCAACAGCGCATTCTCGGCCAAGGACAGTACGAAAAGGAATTGTACAAGCACCGCAAGCAAGGATGTTACGTGTTTCAACTGCGAGAGGAAGGGTCATTACAAAACCGATTGTTGGAGACCTGGAGGAGGGAAAGAAGGTCAGGGACCAAGGCAAGGTGGAAAGGCGCCAAGACAAACGGCTAATGCGGCAGACAAGATCGAAAGAGCAAATGATTATGCTTTTGTCACGTCAGATCTAGCAAATGTGGCAAAAAGGATCAACATACCTGCCGAGAGACAAGGAGCCATTATCGATTCGGGCGCAACGTCCCATTTCTGCCCCGACCGCTCGAAGTTCATAACATTCACCTCCATCAAAGCACAAGATGTGCACACTGCAGACGGTTCTACCATCAGCGCCATAGGAAAAGGGGATATAAAGATAGACCTACCTTTGGGAACAAAGAAGACCACTGTGACTCTCAAAGACACCCTATATACGCCAAAGATGGCATTCACGTTAATATCGGCCAACAGAATCGCTACCGCCGGTTTCGCATTACACCTCGAAGATAACATGTGCAGGATATTGACCCCAGCACCAGAGCGAAGACCCATAGCCGAAATTCCTCAAATAGAAGGACTATATCGAATCGCGGCATCAGTGACCCATAGCGCAAACTCAGCAATAACGAAACATACCATCGATGAATTACACCGAGCATTGGGACATGTATCCCACGAAGCGATCACAAATGCTATAAAGAAGGGCATGATCAGAGGTATAACGTTAGATGAAAGTTCAAACCCTACCTTTTGCGAAACGTGCGCAAAGGCCAAAGCCACTCGACAACCATTTCCAAACGAGTCAAAGACCAGATCATCCGCATATGGGGACCTCGTCCATACAGATCTATGGGGTCCGGCACAAACCGAAACGATAAACGGATGCCTGTATTATATCACCTTTACAGATGATTTTAGTCGGGAAACGAGGGTAACATTCCTGAAGAGAAAGAGCGACGCACTTACCGCATTCAAGGAATACGAGGCTTATGTAAGCCGACAATATAATGCGCGTCTGCGCAAAGTACGTTCGGATCGAGGAGGAGAGTACCTAAGCAAGGAGTTTGATGAATATCTGAAGGAAAAAGGAATAAAGAGACAACTCACCGTGCACGATTCCCCACAGCAGAATGGTGTAGCCGAAAGACTAAATCGAACATTAGTCGAACACGCGCGAGCCATGCTACTCGCAAAGGACCTACCAAAGTTTTTATGGGCCGAAGCCGTCAATTACACAACATGGCTCAAAAATCGCCTACCTTCGAGGGCGATCCCAGGATACACGTCCTATGAATTGCTACACAAAGCAAAACCAAGTTTAGTAAACGCACGGGAATTCGGCGCACGACTCTATGTGCACTCACCAGATGGAGGAAAGCTCGAAGCTAGAGCAGAAGAAGGTCAATTTGTGGGAATAGACGAGGAAAGTAAAGCTTACCGAGTATACTGGCCGAAGAAGAGAAGAGTATCTGTCGAACGCAATGTTAGCTTTGTCCCGCCGGACGTCATCGTTCGTAACGACATACTGGACGAGGGGGAGTATAACCAGGAAGAACAGATCAACATACCGAATATCGTCCAGCCCGTCGCAACATCCCAAGTCCCACAAACACCAAGCCAACCTCCCAAAACGCCACCCCAGAGTACACAGCAACTTCCAGACCCAATAACGCCCAGAACCACGAGAGTACGACCCCCTGCAGGATACTACAAAGCGTTAAATGAAGGAGAAAGAGCAACCATAGCAATGGAAAACTCACCGGACAACACTCAATCGAATTCTTTTCCATATATGGCCATGGCAGCCGCAGAGAAGGAACCGACGCTTAGAGAAGCGTTAAATGGACCAGACGCAGAGGAATGGCAACAAGCCATAGACTATGAGATTGGTCAATTAGAGAAACTCAAGACATGGGAAATTGTGGACCCACCTAAAGGCGCGAATATAATACCTTGCCATTTTGTCCTAGCGACAAAGCGTGGACCAAATGGCGAGAAGGTAAAGCTGCGTGCGAGACTTGTCGCAAATGGTCAGCGCCAAGAGTACGGCGTAGACTATCAAGAAACATTCGCACCTACCTCAAGTATGACGACAATTCGTACTGTCCTAACGATGGCAGCTAAGCACAACTGGGAAATACATCAAGTCGATGTTAAAAGTGCTTACCTCAATGCCAAGCTCAACGACGACATATATATGCGCGCGCCGCCAGGATACTTGAACAAAGGAGACGAAGGAAAGGTATTAAAGCTATTGCGTAGCTTATATGGCCTAAAGCAGGCCGGTTTTGAATGGTCCGAGGAGCTAGAAGAATTTTTCCTCAGTAACGACTTCACGCGCTCTCAAGTCGACCAAGCCGTATACTATCGACAAGCCGAAGAAGAACATACCGTTATCACCGTTTCCGTCGACGACATGGCCGTCACATCAAAACACCTAAAGCACATCCAAAAGTTCAAAGATCAGCTTTGTAAACGTTTTGAGATTTCGGACCTAGGAGAGCTTACCTGGCTCCTAGGACTAAAGGTTGAAAGGGACCGAAAGGCGCAGACCATAATGTTGTCGCAAGAAGCATACATCGACACTATAGTCGAGAGATTCAGGATGAAGGATGCGACAACGTCGCAAACACCAATGGAAACTGGAGTAGTTCTAATGAAAGAGTCATCAGACCATTCACCAGACACCAAACCTGAAATACCCGAACAACACGTACCGTATCAACAGGCCATTGGATCGCTAATGTATGCTGCGACGAGCACACGTCCGGATATAGCCTTCGCTGTTTCGATACTCTCGCAGTTCATGCGAGAGCCAGCTAGTGCGCACTGGGAAGCTGCTAAACGAGTCATACGCTATCTAAAGGGGACAAAGAATTCAAAACTTACCCTAGGAACCACAAATCAAGGTTTAGAAGCGTTTGTAGACGCTGATTGGGCGAGTCAGCCCCATCGACACTCAATATCGGGCTATATCGTCCTGTTGCACGGATCTCCAGTAGCGTGGAGCGCGCGAAAGCAGTCGCTAGTTGCTTTATCAACCGCCGAAGCGGAATATATTGCGCTGACGTCGGTAGCGCGCGAAATCCTATATCTAAAAAGTCTCATCAGTGAGCTATACGAGCCGATGGATGAATGTATCCCCACCTACTGCGACAACCAAGGAGCAATAGCGTTAGCATCAAACAACAAATTCCGCGCACGCACCAAGCATATTGACATAAGGTATCATTACATCCGCGACCTTGTCGAAAACGGCACCATCCAACTCCAATATTGTCCGACGCTCGAAAACGTTGCGGACGCTTTTACGAAAGCACTGCCGGCACCACGGTTTAGGGAATTGAGAGGGAAGATGAAGGTGGACTGTGCTCGAGGGGGAGTGTTGGACTCAGTCGTACATGATGACTGTACGAGCACAGGAGTAAAAGGATTAGTAATACATACATAGATGAATAATGTAGGGAACACCGACTTACCCGGGAATAGCCGGAGCGGTGTCGATTAGTAAGCACAGCACGGAGAACAGACAAGTCCGTTTTCATATGTTTCGGATCGGACGCATAGTATTAACCGTTTAACAGTATATATATTGTACGAAGTAGTTACAATGAAGAAAGCCTTTTTATCAAATATTCTACTCTAAAACATCTACTCTAAACTACAGATAACTACAGATAGGGAACGTCAGCAACAGCATCAAAGGATAGACGAAGACGAGCGGGAGCGGCTTGAACAAGTGAGGATTGAGGAAGAGGAAGCGGCGCGCAAAGAAGAGAGGAAAAAGAACAAATACAAATTCATTCCCATTCTCGAGACTGGAATACCAGACAAACCGGCCATCACACCATGTTCTTACGCTCTAAAGAAACTGGACAAAGGCGAGTACGTGGAATTATGGTATTTCACTAACGACGGCTTGGACGAAGCTAGTATAAAGAAGACGATTGACGACGACGCCATGATTCTTTCGACTCTGGCTGATGGCTCCACAGCCTGGGTCTCTTCAGCGTCTACGCGAAGTGCACGTTCGGTGATTAACGACGAAAATTTACCTTTTGAAGAGTTCTGTCAAGCCTGTCCGCGCTTTCTGACGGCAATAGAGGAGGCAGATTGGCCGCAAGACAGAGTCCGGATGATGGCTCGGTTCTGGATGAACATTCAAGTTCACAAGTTTCGCTCACTCAGAGACCCCATAGCTCAGAAGTCACTCCTGGTCTACCAGGCAGAGCAACGGAAACGGTGGCATATCGCAGCAAAGTCCTCTGTCGGACCATATGATCTTTCAGACGTCAATGAGAAGGTTCTCAAAGACACGAGGGACAGAGTATATTGGGATGAGCGCAACAAGAGAGACAACGAACGTGATTACAAGGTCAGGATTCGCTTGGAATGACAAGTAACGATCAAGCTAACCATCTCGTTTTTCCTGTTTTATTTCATTTAAAATCAAAACAAATATGTCAAACCTGCTACACGCTACACGCCGCACGTTGCACGTCATACATAACTTGCTACACAATGCGCATCGCACATCGCACATTATATGCTGCATGCCACACTATATGCTACATGCTACATGCCTCATGCTACGCATCACATCGCCCGCTGCAGACTGACCAACACGTCAGTTCCTCTTCGAGACATCGTGACTGGAAAGAGCCAACCAAGCGTGCTCATTCACCAGAGCACGCGAGCAAGGCCAAGAAACCACGTCAGGATTTTCGTGCGGGCGCAAGCGGAGGAGTCCTCTCCGCTTGCGCCATTTGCCTCGGACGAAATCCTCACAGGATTATCGAGTGCAAAGCGTCCAGAACCTGGGACGATGCATTCGAAACTCTTTGCGCACGCATTGGCAAGATCCTCACGATGCGAGACGGCAAGGCCATCTGCAGCGATTGGCAACGCGTCAACGGATGCTCAGAGGTCACACACGACCGACGACATTTCTGTTCTGGATGTGGTGCCTCCACTCATGGAGCTCAGACGTGCCCTCGAGCGCAGAGAGCATAAAGCGCTTACCCCGTATGATGCGGAGGTGTGGACTTCGAGGCTGGCATCAGTCGGTCTTTTGGGCAGGTACTCTCACATTCCGGATGGGTTACGTCAAGGCTTTCGTCTCGATATTCCTAGTATTAGAGTCACGCAGATTCCGCCGAACAAGCAATCCATTGTTACATATCAACGAGAATTCCTCACCATTGTGCAAACTGAGCTTAAAAAAGGAAGATATATCGGACCGATGCGAGCAAAAGAAGTCGAAGAACTCATCGGCCCCTTTCAATCGTCTCCCTTCTCCATCATCCCTAAGCCAGGTCGCCCAGGACGCTACCGTATCATTCAGGACTATTCATTTCCTCACATCGTATCCCCGAAGTTTCCCAACGTATCCATCAATTCATACATCAATCCGGACAATTTTCCCAGTACCTGGGGAACTTTCCACGTCACAGCGCTTAAAATCAGTCGTCTGCCGCCCGGCTCACAGATCGCCATCAGAGATGTATCAGAAGCTTACCGCACTGTTCCCATACATTCCTCACAATGGCCAGGTTCGGTTGCGCGCATCTCAGATGATCTTTTCTGCATTGACACATGCATGTGTTTCGGTTTGCGACCTTCAGCCGGAGCATACGGTTCTCTTGCCGACGCCGGACTCGATCTATTTCGTTCACGCGGAATTGGTCCCGTATCGAGATGGGTCGATGACCATTTATTCATACGCATTCTCAAACAACACATTGCAGCTTACAACGAGAAACGGAGAGCTTGGCACCGGGACATCATTAGCAGAGGAGAACATCGTGATGGCGGTAGAGTATGGTTTGGCGGCTTCGTTTTCGAAGACGGTACTTTGGAAGAGTTTGAAGAAGATTGTCGTTTTCCGATCGTGGACCTTTCGGAGACGTCATCGAGATCAAGCGATGACGCAAGGTTCTCTTTCAACCTATCGGACGTTGACGAATTTTCAGAAGATCTCAACATACCTTGGGAGCTACCCAAAGACAAGCCCTTTGCCTATGTCAACCCATACATTGGGTTCATGTGGAATCTCGCGCAGGATAAGGTCTATCTCGACAAGGAGAAGAAGGCGAAATACTTGGACGCAATCAGAGGCTGGGAGACGCACGACTCACACGTGCTTAACGACGTACAACAGCTATACGGTAAGCTGCTGCATACCACGCTTGTCGTACCACGAGGGCGCGCTTACCTCACGTCGCTCGAAGCAATGCTGTGTCTCGCTTTCATTAAGCCTTTTATCCCACGGAGACCCATCAAAAGACTGGATGCGGACTTACTTTGGTGGAAACATTTGTTGCAGAGTTCTTTCGTTGGTCGGCCAATACCCAAACCCCTCACGCTTTTTAACCCAGAAGCTTACTCGGATGCCAGCTCTGGATTCGGAATCGCCATCACCATCGGAGTCAGATGGAGAGCCTGGCGTTTGCGGAAAGGATGGCAGACCCTCGACGGAAAAAGGGACATTGGATGGGCGGAAGCGGTCGGGTTTGAGCTACTCATTCTCTACCTTATCAGCATGGGAGGACCGCAACGCAACTTCAAAGTATTCGGCGACAATCAAGGGGTTATCGAAGGATGGAGAAACGGTCGCAGCAGAAACACGGCAGTCAACGAAGTATTTCATAGAATCTTCTCTGTTATCAACGATTCTGCAGCATCGTATTCATTCCATCCTACCTACGTCACCAGCAAAGCAAATCCCGCGGATGATCCTTCCAGAGGGGTCTACGGTAGCGCAAAACATCTACTGCCGAATCTCCACATCCCCAGTGCACTCGAATCCTTTATCATCGACCCGTTCATTGCATCCACAGACCCGAGAGAGTACAGTACGGACAGAATTCCATCAGATACCCTCGAGGATCTTACTCTCGACGGTGCCGTCGGCACCGTCGAGAAAGCCGCAGGAACCATTAATGACGCCCTCTATCACATCCACCAGAGCCAACAACGCATCGGCGAACATCTCACGTTTTAATGCATCACTTCCTCTCGACACTATAGCAAAACCCTCACCATATAGAACAGGTCTGATGCCAGCTCCCTCTCAACTTCGACCGCACTGTCTAGCGAGGGATAGATTGAGACTTTGGTTCCCATTGGAGACCAGAGTACCCACAGGGACGGACGGACATCGTTTGGCCATCTCAGAAGAGGACTTGCAGAGGGTCCTTACCGTGATGAACATGTCCTGGGCGCCAGGAACCAGGGAGTGTTACGGGGCAGGTCTTCTGGTCTTTCATGTGTTCTGCGACGAACGAAACATACCAGAAGACCAACGATGCCCAGTAGACACTCGCATCATGTTGAACTTCGTAGCGAGTTGTGCGGGAACTTACTCGGGAAAAACCTTAGCGAACTACGTATATGCGGTGAAAGCCTGGCACACACTTCATGGACAATCTTGGGAGGTCCAACAAGATGAACTCAAGGCGGCATTGGATGGAGCTTCGGAGCTAGCTCCAGACGCAGCGAAACGCTCGAAGCGGGATCCATTTACAGTCAAATTCATTCTTGATATTCGCTCTCATCTAGATGTATCAGCTCCCCTCGATGCCGCAGTGCTCGCGTGTTTAACAAGCGCCTTTTATGCCTTATGTCGGGTAGGAGAACTCACTGTCAAATCCATGAAGACTTTTGAACCGTCGAAACACGTCAAGCGGTCAAATGTACAAATGGATGTTGAAGATAGGCACGGGTTGAGGGTAACCAAAATTTTCCTACCACGAACCAAAGCTGCGGTCGCAGGGGAGGGTGTATTCTGGGCACAGCAGAAAGACGCTTCAGACCCTAAAGCCGCTATGCTCAATCACTTCACAATTAACGATCCGCCGCGAGATAGTCATTTGTTCGCCTGGAAGCACAAGAAGGGCATGAGGCCTTTGACGAGATCAGAATTCTGGAAACGGATTAGTGGGATAGTCAAGAGAGCGGATCTAGGAAATCTCAAAGGCCATGGGCTTCGTATCGGAGGTACCTTGGAATATCTGCTGAGAGGAGTTCCCTTCGACGTAGTCAAATCGATGGGTAGATGGTCGAGCGAAGCATTCACCATATACCTACGCAAGCATGCGTTAATCCTGGCCCCGTATCTTCAGGACTCACAAGCGCTGGAGCCGTTCACTCGCTATACAATGCCAATGATACGTTAACAAGGTGAGTTTACACAATTCACTCTTCTCCTTTCGAATCGGGAGTCCATGCTGCGCCTGACGCGTCGCAGTGCTCCTTGTGTCTGGGAATCACGGCTCATCTGGACTTCCTTCACAGGTTCGAAACGGTGTTTCGGGTCGTAAAACCCTGCGGGTTTTAAGCCCAAATAGCTTCTCAAGTCTCTTGGACACTAGTCGTACAAATCAGATATCATTAGCCAGCTAATATAACTGTTTTTCTTCGCATTAACACAAAGACCAGCAGCTACACATAGATTGTATTCTATTTGAGTCCGAGGCACGAGGACATAGATAGAATTAGGTCTATGTGGCGAAACGGTTCTTTTGGTTTTCCCACCTTCTTGCTTCCTACTACAACGTTAGTACTCGCAACCACTCTGCTCCTAGACTACGCTCTCCGTTCGTCGCACCCGCCCACCACTCCCTTTTCAGCAGCTCGCATCTCGTCAACATAACAGTGTTTGAATTTTTTGAATTTATAAGAATCTACTCGACGCATCAATTTCGATCAGGGCAGGATTCAATCAATCCTGCATCGTGAGCTGCATGGTCCCACCCGCCCTCACGGCTCATCTGGACTTCCTTCACAGGTTCGAAACGGTGTTTCGGGTCGTAAAACCCTGCGGGTTTTAAGCCCAAATAGCTTCTCAAGTCTCTTGGACACTAGTCGTACAAATCAGATATCATTAGCCGGCTAATATAACTGTTTTTCTTCGCATTAACACAAAGACCAGCAGCTACACATAGAATGACATTATCGTCATAATGGAGCATCCCTCTTATAATCATGCAGTACCACACACGTACGCACCCCGTATTTTTCTCACATCATGTTCAAACTCCGCTGGAAGGTCGTCACGATGGACGACAACACTAACAGTGTTTCGGACAGCGGTGAATGGAAGAGCGTATGGGATTCCGAGAGTACAGTATGTAAGAGATGATGTCTCTGGGCGCACGTATGTATCTATATATACGTAGGAAGCATCTGCGGTGTCCAATCATCAAAGGCGTACAATCTGCATCATAGGTAGCGTCATCACAATCTGCGTCATCTGCGTCATAGGTAACCGTCTGCTTACACTCGCCTAGTGAAAGCAGACTGAGCAAGTTCCCGATGGGCGCCAAGATAGGCTTAACTTCGGTCAAGGTTATAAAGTGGAACTTGCGAGAGGCAATCTGACAGGAACCCTCCATTTTGATGTCTCAGCCAATCCTGTCAGAATTCGACATCGTTTTTGCTGGAGGTGAGCAGATATAATCCTGTAGTAGTTTGCCCTCTTAAGCAATACATGATTCTGTATAGGCGGTGCTACAGCCTGTGTTGTCGCAGGTCGCTTAGCTGCATATGACCCCTCGCTCAGGATCTTGATTCTGGAAGCGGGTCAACACACCCTCAATAAACCTATACATGTCCAACCCTACCAATATCCCCTCAATTCAGTACCGACGAGCACCACGGTCACATTCCACATGGGAAATCCATCACCTCGTCTCAACGGCCGTGCGCCGATCGTTCCTTCCGGTCGTTGCGTCGGTGGAGGCTCATGCGTGAATTGTGCGTAGCATACTTGCAATGATGAGCGATACTCTAATAATAAGACAGTTATGGCATATACCCGTGCACCTGCTTCGGACTATGACGATTGGGGAGTCGATGGTTGGGAATCTGAAAATCTAATCCCCCTCATGAAGAAGGTCTCAAATTCGTTTTCAGGACATTCGTTCGAATCGTTTATATGTTCGCTTTATAGCTGGAGACATATGAGGTGCAGTCCGATCGCCCAACTCACGGCTATGACGGACCTATCAAAGTGTCATCTGGTGGGTGTAAGATGGGTATCGCCGACGAATTCATCCAGGTTGGCACGACCTATCACAAGAGGCAGTATGCCGACGACACGAATGATTTAGAAACATGCAATACATACAGTGTAAGCTGTGATCCTTCTTTCCTAACTTCGACAACTAACCAGATCTATCTCAGCCATGGCGGAAGTGAGTTCCTGCACACGTAGGCAATTGCGAATTCTTGGCTCATGCACAAAAGATACATCGACGGGACAACCGGAAGGCGTTCCGACGCAGCTCACCACTATGTCTACAACCAAGCTCACAACCCGAATTTACAAGTCTGGGACGGCAAGCGCGTGAAACGCGTCATCTTCGAGTAAGTGGCTGTTTGAGATCGCAACCCCAGAAAACGGTTGACTGTTTTCCAAACGAAAGAGACAAGCGTGCTGTAGGCATCGAGTTCGCCAGCGACCCAGTGTCTTGCCCAGATGAGGATTAGTCGTCGAGTATTGTGAGAGCATCAAAACTTGTTGTTATCTCTGCTGGGGCATTCGGCTCCCCGACCATTCTGGAGAGGTCTGGGATCGGTGCTGAGGCGATCCTCAAGCGGTGCGGTATCAAGCAACTAGTAAATTTGCCTGGCGTCGGAGAAAATTATCAAGGTGCGCTTTGATCTATTTATTCTAGGAGCTTAGCTTAGGACGGTCAGATCACAATCTCGTCTTTGTTCCATACTTGGCTGCTGACGAGGCTGTCACAATGGACGCCCTCTGGCGTGGGGACAGTCTCCTGCAGGGTAAGCATGTTTCTCCCCGCGATTGCAGCACTTTACAACCACCGAAATGCAGAAAGCCTTGCGGAATGGAACAGCAGCGGCAAGTCATTGATTGCACAAAAGTTGGTACAAGTTATCATCATCACTGCTGGCCTCGTGCTGATCGGAATCTCAGCGGCTTCGATTCAAAAATCAAGTGGCGTCCTGATGACGAGGAATTGAAAGCCATGGACCCAGTTTTTGAACCACGCTGGAAGGAGTTCTTCCAGGACCGGCCAGACAAGGCTGTTGCCATATTTTATGTTTTTGCAGGGTGCGTGCGCATTGCTTAGCTTTGATGATTTGATCATGCTCATGGCAGCCAGATATGTTCAACCGCTCTCGAGGCCGCTCATTCTACCTCCACGCAACTACATGACTGCTTGTAATTCTACAGTACTGCTCTCTGTCTACCCCATGGTTTTCTCTGAATCATTTCAATAGCTTTACCCCGTGTCTATTGGAAGTGTCCATGTCAACGTGACAGATGACGGAAAAGAACGAATGGACTTTACTACAGGCTTCCTAGATGAGTGAGTGGACGCATTTCACTTTAGGGCACTTTGCATGACTCAGACACTCCGACCAGTCCATCCGATATCGTTCCTCTTAACTTCGGGTACAAAAAGATGCGCGAACTTCTTCGACGCATGGATTCCTACCGAGGTGAAGTCGCTGCTGGCCATCCTGATTTCCCGGAGGGAAGTGCTGCAGCCTGCAGAGAAGCTTCCGGGCCAGTGGACTTGAATGCGCCTGACATCGTCTACACTGCCGAAGATGACGAGGCGATCGATCGATTCCACCGCGATATCGGTAAGTGTCGGCATCCCATTTGAAATTTCCATTGTCAGTGAAATATTGAATCGAATATCAGTGCAAACGACATGGCACTCGGTGTGTGCAGCTGTACCTTCCATGATTTCATATCTGATCTTTGTATTTGTAGCTTGGGACTTGTGCCATGAAACCGGAGACAGATCAGGGAGTCGTCGACGCTCGGTTAAATGTATACGGAGTGTCGAACCTGAAGGTCGCAGATCTGTCCATTTCGCCGTTGAACGTTGGAACGGTCAGTACTGAACAGAGGATTGTTGATGTGCGATCTCACGATATGTACAGAACACGTACTCGACAGCACTTCTCATCGGAGAGCGGGCTGCGATGATCATTGCTGAAGAATTGGGTATCACTTGTATTTGATTTGTATCGTTAGAGGAGCATTCTCTGGACCTGACTCCCAGTCAGAACCTGCGAGAGGAAAATCTACAGGAATCGTCTAAATATATTTAGAATCGTGTGAAATCGACAATTACTGACTGAACAATATTTAAGACAAAGACGCTTTAAGAAATTGCATTATTGAAGCTCGGTTGAAGCCCGAAGTTCCAGAATCAACGTTGAAGGCTATGTAATGAAACACTTTGTTTTACAAGGAAAGCAGACATGTGACTCCTTTCCGCGTGGCCTGATCATATAAGTATCACGTGGAGTCTGAGTTTGGTGGCAATTTTGGTGAGACCAGCCTAGCCTACTTATATCACCACGGACATTGGACAAGCAAACACTCAACATCTCAGACGTAGCAAAGACCTGGCAAAGACTGATTATGAGTGTAGGTGGCGTCACTGGCGTGTGCAGATGGGCCAAGGCCACATCGGGGGAGTCCAGGTGCGTGATCGCAGCTGCTTCTTTCGCTGCATTCATTGGATATACGAGTTTGTCAACTGTAAATAGCGGATTAACTGCTACTTGGCAGGCCACTGCATGTGACGGAGCAAGCTCGCATACCAACGTGATTCACTTAAGTTAGATAGTTGCGATGGCTCGATCGTCAATACGAGCGATAGCTTGGTTTGCAGGAGGTGAGTACTTTGATTAATCAGTCATTGAAGACGTTACTATTAACAACTTGCGAGGCACGACTTCTTTCTCATGAGCAGTATCTGCTTGCATATATGTTGACCATGGTTCTCCATAATATCCGGTTGCATACAAAAGACCCGCAAAATCTTGTGAGCGACAAATCATAAGCTCTCCCAGGCGTGAACGTCCCTAATGCTTAATGTGTCGGGGGTACCCGCAATGTCACACATTCAGGGATGCTTGATTTTATTGTTCGAAAGTCGTAAGGGAGCATCCTTCTTATAATCACGCAGTATCACACACGTACGCACCCCGTATTTTTCTCACATCATGTCCTAGTGAAAGCAGACTGAAGTCGCAAGTTCCCGATGGGCGCCAAGATATGCTTTGCTTCGGTCAAGGTTATAAAGTGGAACTTGCGAGAGGCAATCTAAAAGGAACCCTCCATTTTGATGTCTCAGCCAATCCTGTCAGAATTCGACATCGTTTTTGCTGGAGGTGAGCAGATATAATCCTGTAGTGGTTTGCCCTCTTGAGCTGCACATTCTTCTGTATAGGTGGTGCTACAGCCTGTGTTGTCGCAGGTCGCTTAGCTGCATATGACCCCTCGCTCAGGATCTTGATTCTGGAAGCGGGTCAACACACCCTCAATAAACCTATACATGTCCAACCATACCAATATCCCCTCAACCAAGTACCGACGAGCACCACGGTCACATTCCACATGGGAAATCCATCACCTCGTCTCAACGGCCGAGCGCCAATCGTTCCTTCCGGTCGTTGCGTCGGTGGAGGCTCATGCGTGAATTGTGCGTACCATATTTGCAATGATGAACGATACTCTAATAATAAGACAGTTATGGCATATACCCGTGCACCTGCTTCGGACTATGACGATTGGGGAGTCGATGGTTGGGAATCTGAAAATCTGATTCCCCTCATGAAGAAGGTCTCAAATTCGTTTTCAGGACATTCGTTCGAATCGCTTATACGTTCTCTTTATAGCTGGAGACATATGAGGTGCATCCCGATCGTCCAACTCACGGCTATGATGGACCTATCAAAGTGTCATCTGGTGGGTGTAAGATGGGTGTCGCCGACGAATTCATCCAGGTTGGCACGACCTATCACAAGAGGCAGTATGCCGACGACACGAATGATTTAGAAACATGTAATACATACAGTGTAAGCTATGTTGTCCTTTCCTGACTGCGACCACTAATTAGATCTGTCTCAGCCGTGGTCAAAGTGAGTTCCTGCACTCGTAGGCAATTGCAACTCATGTCCACAAGATACATCGACGGGACAACCGGAAGGCGTTCTGATGCGGCTCACCACTATGTCTACAACCAAGCTCACAACCCGAATTTACAAGTCTGGGACGGCAAGCGCGTGAAGCGCATCATCTTTGAGTAAGTGGCCATCTGACATCACGACCTCAGCACACGGTTGACTTTTTTTCCAAACGAAAGAGATAAGCGTGCTGTAGGTGTCGAGTTCACCAGCGACCCAGTGTCTTGCCCAAATGCGGATCAATCGTCGAGTATTGTAAGAGCATCGAAACTGGTTGTTATCTCTGCTGGGGCATTCGGTTCCCCGACCATTCTGGAGAGGTCTGGGATCGGTGCCGAGGCGATCCTCAATCGGTGCGGCATCGAGCAGCTGGTGAATTTGCCTGGCGTCGGAGAAAATTATCAAGGTGCGCTTTTAATTTATCCCGAGAGCTTGCTTGGCTTAGTACGGTCAGATCACAATCTCGTCTTTGTTCCATACTTGGCTGCTGACGAGGCTGTTACCATGGACGCCCTCTGGCGTGGGGACAGTATCCTGCAGGGTAAGCACGTTTTACCCCACGATTGCAGCGCTTTACAACTACCCAAATGCAGAAAGCCTTGCAGAATGGAACACCAGCGGCAAGTCATTGATTGCACAAAAGTCAGTGCAAGTTATCATCATCACTGCTGGCATTGTGCTGATTAGGATTTCAGCGGCCTCGATTCCAAAATCAAGTGGCGTCCTGATGACGAGGAATTGAATGCTATGGGTCCAGCTTTTGAACCACGCTGGAAGGAGTTTTTCCAGGACCGGTCAGACAAGGCTGTCGCAATATTTTCTGCTTTTGCAGGGTGCGTGCGCATTGCTTTGCTTTGATGATTTGAAAATGCTCATGGCAGCCAGATATGTTCAACCGCTCTCAAGGCCGTTCTTGAGTATGCTACCTCCACGTAACTACATGACTGCTGGTTATTGTACAGTACTGCTTTCTGTCTACCCCATGGCTTTCTCTGAATCACTTCAATAGCTTTACCCCGTGTCTGTTGGAAGTGTCCATGTCAACGTGACAGAGGACGGAAAAGAACGAATGGACTTCACTACTGGTTTCCTAGATGAGTGAGTAGTAGACGCATGTCATTCCAAGGCTCTTTGCGTGACTATGACACTTCGCGCAGTCCATCCGATATCGTTCCTCTTACCTTTGCGTACAAGAAGACGCGGGAACTTTTTCGACGCATGGCTTCCTACCGAGGTGAATTCGTTGCTGGCCATCCTGATTTCCCGGAGGGAAGTGCCGCTGCAGCCTGCAGAGAAGCTTCCGGGCCAGTGGACTTGAATGCGCCTGACATTGTTTACACTGCCGAAGATGATGAGGCGATCGATCGATTCCACCGCGATATCGGTAAGTGTTGGCATCCCATTTCCATTGTTACCGTGAAATATTGAATCGAATATCAGTGCAAACGACATGGCACTCGGTGTGTGCGGCTGTACCTTCCATGATTTTATATCTGATATTTGTATTTGTAGCTTGGGACTTGTGCCATGAAACCGCAGGCAGATCAGGGAGTTGTCGACGCTCGGCTGAATGTATACGGAGTGTCGAACCTGAAGGTTGCAGATATGTCCATTTCGCCGTTGAACGTTGGAACGGTGAGTACTGGACAGAGGATTGTTGATATGCGATCTCACGATATATACAGAACACGTACTCGACAGCACTTCTCATCGGAGAGCGGGCTGCGATGATCATTGCTGAAGAATTGGGTATCAATTGCATTTGATATGCATCGTCAGACCATTTGCTGGACCTGACTACTCATCCGTGATTAACAATGCGTCAGAATACCAGAAATTTATGTAGGAAGCGTCCACCCATCCATGAAATTGTGTTCTCCAGATCACCAACCGTGCAGGCTAATCACATAGTGTTCAATGGAGATGTCCGTGATCAACCGTAAGTAGATAGACAAGAGATCACCGTAAACAATGTTGTTGTCAAACTGAGACAGTAGGAAGAAAGAAAGTCGTGGTCATTGGCAGAACTGTGGGAAGCACTCGTTGCAGCAAATTGGTACTATATAAGACAATAAAGACGATGATAGTAGCAATCAAGCACATCAATAAGCAGGAACAATGTATCGACGAGGACATCATCGGGCCTACGCAATTGATTAAACCAAGCCCCTCGGATATTGATCAACAACAATGCACGCACCAGCACAACATACGTCACCGTCTTTGTCCAGCGTGATCCTTACCGACTGTGTGGTGCGGCATGTACTGATCACCTATCGTAAAATCCTGTTTCAAGTAAATGCAGATGTCACAACAAGATGGACGATAAAAATAAAATACCCGCATACATTCATTAATACTTTTAGCAGCACGCCCAGCCACGTCCATGTTCCCCGTTGTCTACCTGCACTGCTGCTGGTCGCTGTTGCTGTTGTAAATCGGCGTCCGGTGAAGGAGGTCCATGATAGTCTTCATCACGGATCAAGGAGTCGTCACTCCCAGGAGCACCCGCTGCAGCATTACGCCGTAGATTGAAGCATGGGACACCTAAGAAACAGTTATAGAAATGACCAGGCGTACCTGTCAACCCTGGGTCAAAGAAATGTCGACGACAGGTGGCATTTGATGATGGGGTGGCAGGGTGAAAAGGCGTCGTAGGTGAGTTTTGAAGGCGGCCAGGTAATGGGTGGTGCAGGTGGAGGAGCCGAACGAGGAGTTCTCGTCATAGTGAACCTGAGGCTTTTGAGACACCCAGGGTGCTGTCGAGCTTGTGGACAGACAATCTGAGAATGCTATAATGAATGACGTGAGAGAGAAATGAAGGGTACGCATTTGCACGCACTTGATGGATTTCGTGGAAGAAATTGGGTACTGCATCGTAACCATCCTGAATTTGTCCGGGGATCTCTGCCTGCATAATGGTCAGTAGCGAAAGAGGTGAGGAAGGAAATGTATACGCCAAGAATATGGTCATGTTGTTCAGCGAGCACGCTACATCGTTCCCTAAACTCTGAGTGAAACTCGGGTGAGTATGATACCATCGGGCGATGTCACTAAAAACTCGCCATTGTACCAATCAAGGCAGCTAGCCTTCCCAGATTTGTTGATAGATATCATGTTTTTGTGTGCTTCGAGGGCTTCATTACGTTTACCTGCCGAACCGGGAATGCCTGACACCATTTCTGGTGTGGTGACCAACAAAAACTGGCCAAGATCTGGACAAAGCATAGCTAGGTTGGTTGTGAACCCATGCCACTTGATCTGAGAATCGAATGTAAAACGTATAGGAACGCTTGTATTAATTAATGGCGCGCCAGTGCTAGTCGATACCGTGAAGTCAGTGCCGCCATGGCTTCCCACGGCCCTTCAAGGAATTCGGCTTATATATCCTACACTTCTTATATGTCGAGCAGTTTCTGCGATACTGGCTATCATGTAAATTGTCCGAGTGCATATATCATCTCATCGAGTTCCAAAATCTGTATCTGCACCAGATGTCTCTCTTTTCGCATCTCAAACGCGCTCGTAATGAAGAAGTTTCCATCTTTCAAGACTCGTTTCATCCAAATTATGATTTTCAAAGACGATTCATTTGGTTTCACTTTATCTCGTTGACTAATTATGTCATGTCCATTCTTGTTGGAATTGCAATTCTGCGCCGCATACTAAGTGTGCAATATGGTCATCGCACTTCACTAACATCGGAACGCTCTCTCCACAGCCAAAGCTGCGCGGGCCTTAACATGTCACTGCGGTGTTCAGGAATGGTGTGTTATCGATCACGGAATACATGGACCTAATCCTTTGTCACATCAAGTTAGCACCACAACTTTCATGCAATCTTTCACGGTTCAGGTCCAAGGTCTCGCGATCCCTCACCTTACGACTCGCCATAAGGGGTCTGCAAATTACGGCTATACAGTACATCTTGAATTTTCTGACAACAACATATCGATCTCGCAGATGATCTGTGAGTCATTCGAGCCAGCCATCCTTCAAGGATATGTCTGTGGGGTGGGACATGCGACAATTGCGTCCCCTCCTCCTAAAGACCGAAGCCTGTCGTGTTCCGAAAATCCCTTCTGGGCGCATACCCTCGGGCATTCGTGTGCCCGTCCACCTCCACGAAACCTAACTCTGGAAATCAGCTAGTTATTCGACTACTATCGTCCGCAGAATCTGCATTGTGAATTGTATTGTGGCCATGTAACGCAATCCACGCAACAGACCCGATCCTACAACTTATCTTTGGTTTATAGATTGCTCGATGTATCACTCAAGTTGTTGCTTGAAATCAGTTTATCCTTTCGGCCGAATACTAGGCATTGGGAGAGCTTGAATCACCATGAAATGAACCGTGGGCTCTCGCGGCGAGTGTCCCGCTTTTCTTTGATGTACATCCATTCCTAACTTTTCGTACACCTGTCCTTCCCTCTTGTTCGTGGTGTCCAGCCTTCCAAATACTGACCTAAACGATGGTATCGAGAGTCTTGGTGTAGCAGATGTTCGAATTTGGATCTTACCGCATGTTGGAGGGCGAACGGGCCCGCCGGACCGCAATGGAACTAACGTTTATCAACTTGAAGGACATTGCCAAATTGGTCACAAGGTTTTGTATTATCAAGCCATTTGCGCGTTCAACAACACATCAACATACCTGCGACGCCACGCAGCGCCCTGTTTTTCTGATGGTATTGTTCAGATGTGGCCTATTGCAGTCCAAGTTATTATTGCCACTTATCAGTCTTAATCTTGTGATCCGTGACGTGTCGTAAGTTCCCCATGGACCAATGATAGGCTTCACTTTGCTGGTTATAAGATGGAAGCAGCGAGGGGCAGCCTGAAATCATAACCATCCATATCGATGTCTCATCCAATCCTGTCAGAATTCGACATCGTTTTTGCCGGAGGTAAGCAAATAACATCTTATAGTGGATTGCCCTCGTCATACATCGTCCTGTACAGGTGGCACTACAGCCTGTGTTGTCGCAGGTCGCTTAGCTGCATATGACCCCTCACTCAGGATCTTGATTTTGGAAGCGGGTCAACACACCCTCAATAAACCTATTCATGTCCAACCCTACCAATATCCCTTCAACCAAGCACCGACGAGCACCACAGTTACATTTCACGTAGGAAATCCATCTCCTCGTCTCAACGGTCGTGCACCGATCGTTCCTTCTGGTCGTTGCGTTGGTGGAGCCTCATGTGTGAATTGTGCGTAGCATGCTTGCCACGATGAAGAAGACCCTGATGATAAGACAGTCATGGTATACACCCGTGCACCTGCTTCGGACTATGATGATTGGGGAGTCGATGGTTGGGAATCTGAAAATCTGATTCCCCTCATGAAGAAGGTCTCAAATTCGTTTACAGGACATTCGTTCGAATTGTTTATACGTTCACTTTATAGCTGGAGACGTATGAGGTCCAGCCCGATCATCCAACTCACGGATATGACGGACCTATCAAAGTGTCATCTGGTGGGTGTAAGTTGGGTATCTCCGACGAATTCATCGAGGTTGGCACGACCTATCACAAGAGGCAGTATGCCGACGACACGAATGATTTAGAGACGTGCAATACATACAGTGTAAGCTACGATGCTTCTTTCCTAACTTCGACAACTAACCAGATCTATCTCAGCCATGGCAGAAGTAAGTTCCTGCACTCTTAGGCAATTGCAAATTCTTAGCTCATGCACACAAGATACATCGACGGGACGACCGGAAGGCGTTCTGACGCAGCTCACCACTATGTCTACAACCAAGCTCACAACCCGAATTTACAAGTCTGGGATGGAAAGCGCGTGAAGCGTATCATCTTCGAGTAAGTGGCCATCTGAGATCGCGACCCCAGCAAACGGTTGACTGTTTCTCCAAACGAAAGGGACAAGCGTGCTGTAGGCGTCGAGTTCGCCAACGACCCAGTGTCTTGCCCGGATGCGGATCAGTCGTCGAGTATTGTAAGAGCATCAAAACTGGTTGTTGTCTCTGCTGGGGCGTTTGGTTCCCCAACCATTTTAGAGAGATCTGGGATCGGTGCCGAGGCGATCCTCAAGCGATGCGGTGTCGAGCAGCTGGTGAATTTGCCTGGTGTCGGAGAAAATTATCAAGGTGCGCTTTTCATTTATCCCGATAGCTTTCTTGGCTTAGGACGGTCAGATCACAATCTCGTATTTGTTCCATACTTGGCTACTGACGAGGCTGTTACCATGGACGCCCTCTGGCGTGGGGACAGTATCCTGCAGGGTAAGCATGTTTCATCCCACGATTGCAGCACTTATGACCACCCAAATGTAGAAAGCCTTGCAGAATGGAACAGCAGCGGCAAGTCATTGATTGCACAAAAGTTGGTGCAAGTTGTCATCATCACTGCTGGCATCGTGCTGATTGGAATATCAGCGGCCTCGATTCAAAAATCAAGTGGCGTCCTGATGACGAGGAGTTGAAAGCCATGGATCCAGCTTTTCAACCGCGCTGGAAGGAGTTTTTCCAGGACCGGCCAGACAAGGCTGTTGCAATATTTTGTGTTTTTGCAGGGTGCGCATTGCTTAGCTTTAATGATATGACAATGCTCATGACACCCAGACATGTTCAACCGCTCTCGAAGCCGCTCGTTCTTCCTCCTGGCAGGTACATGTGTACGGGGTATTATACAGTACTGCGTTTCATCTATCCTGTGATTCTTTTGTTAATCTTTTCAATAGCTTTACCCAGTGTCTGCTGGAAGCGTTCACATCAACGTGACAGATGACGGAAAAGAAGAAATGGACTTTACTACAGGCTTCCTAGATGAGTGAGTGGACGCATTGCATTTTAAGGCACTTTGCATGACCACGACACTCCCCCAGTCCATCTGATATTGTTCCCCTCAACTTCGGGTACAAAAAGACACGCGAACTTCTTCGACGCATGGCTTCATACCGAGGTGAAGTCGCTGCTGGCCATCCTGATTTCCCAGAGGGAAGCGCTGCAGTCTGCAGAGAAGCCTCCGGGCCAGTGGACTTGAATGCGCCTGACATTGTTTATACTACCGAAGATGACGAGGCGATTGATCGATTCCACCGCGATATTAGTAAGTGCTGACATGCGATTTGCATTGTCACAGTAAAATACTAAATCGAACATCAGTGCAAACGACGTGGCATTCTGTGTGTGCGACTGAACTTTCCATGATTTCATATCTGATATTTGTATTTGTAGCTTGGGACTTGTGCCATGAAACCGGAGGCAGATCAGGGAGTCGTCGACGCTCGGCTAAATGTATACGGAGTGTCGAACCTCAAGGTTGCAGATATGTCCATTTCACCGTTGAACGTTGGCACGGTGAGTACTGGACGGAGTATTGTTGATGTGCGATCTAATCACATACACAGAACACGTACTCGACGGCACTTCTCATCGGAGAACGGGCTGCGATGATCATTGCCGAAGATTTGGGTATCAATTGCATTTGATATGTATCGTCAGGGGCATGTTTGATAATGACTTCTTGGACTTGGTTAAAGCTAGGTTCAGGGACTTCCGGTGGGTCTTGGTCGTCTGAGAGCATCTGACATAGTGTGAGGCGGGTAAACGACTCGTGTCACGGGCTTGACAGGCCTCGGCCCTCGTTCTTGCGTAAAAATGTCGACGCATGATGAAGGTGTCAAAGCGACTCCCCCTGCTACCGACTGAGTGAGCCAATCTGAGGACAACACAGGGTTGACGACCGGTGTTCCCTCATAATATACAGAACGCCCTTACGAGTGCATCCTTCGTTTCTCAGCAAAAAGCAGCCATGCCTGGCAAGATTGAAAGGAATCAGTGCAAAGCTTAGTCAGACAATACAGAAAATATACCCACCTTCCGATCCTTGGAAGCATGGAATAACCGCTTCTCAAATCTCAGTGCCTCAGCGAGGCTCATTTCAAACGCTGCATTCACGGCCTCCTTGCCTAAATTCACTGCGATGCGTCCCTTGCTTGCAATATCGCTCGCCACCTTTACGGCCTCATCAACGACACTGCCCTCGCATACAACCCGTACGATGCCCCAGCGAAATTCTGCCTCGTCTGCACCAATTATACGTCCGGTTAGGACGAGTTCCAAAGGGAAAAAGCCGTCTCTCAGGATGACATGTGGAGCTATGACGACTGTCTTTAAATTGTTCGGCTTTGGAAATATCCTGCTTAAGCTCTCAAGCTATAGACTGGACATACGGAATACTCTTGCGCTCAGCTCTGACGCTTATCTTTAAGTTGTTCGTCTTTGGAAATATTCTGCCTAAGCCCTCAAGCTATAGACTGGACATACGGAATACTCTTGCGCAATCTACTGTCTTCAACTGACTAGGGAAATTTGATATACCTCGCTCTCACAACAGAACGTACATCCATAATCCCAAAGTTCCTCTCTACTCATATCGACCCAAGCGCACGTCCATTTGTTTTCGGGGAAGTGTTTGACGTCCCTCGACTCAGTCAAGCCATTGGGATCCACTTGCTTCAATGGCATGAAGTCAAGGATCCAGAAAGTCAGGTTGTCGATGATCTTGGTTGTTGGACCTTCTGGGAAACCGTTCAACAGCACATCGAGATTCCTGAACCACGACGAAGTCCCTCCCTGAACCTGCTCAAGCTCGGCGAGACGACTTCGAACATCCCTCTTCGGTGATTGAATGCATGGACACGTACCCCAGCTTGGGTCGAGCTGACATCTCCTTAGCGTACACCACAATCATGCATCTTTTTGGTCCCTCGCATCACTCGGGTTTCCGGAAACTCGCTCGAAAAGCGGAATTATCATTCACGAATCGTCCTTCTCCTCAGCACCAGGTTTTCCTTCCCCCAGGCGATCACGTATTATGCTTCAATTTCCTTTACTACATAAGCGCTCATCATACATGGGAATGGGAATTAGACTATTCTCCTGCATGGGGATTTGTAGGCCAAGACATGCGATGGACTGCAAGCATGGCGATGGGCATGCCTGACGCGCCATGAATGTACCAGTAACTGGACCAACTCCTCCCATGAGTGAAGGTTTCGGGCATAGGATGCTCTACAGATCTAATTTTTGACAGTATATATCGATGCACATACCGCAGTGACTTCAGCCAGTAATACGAGGAGTTTCCAGTGGACTAGTGCTTCGCCCCGTTGTCTGTTATTGCGCGCAGGGTATCCGAGGTGCAAGAAGAGCTTCGGACACGAAAAGGGATTAAGGCCACGCATGTTATCATGACGAGCGACGAAAACAACCCGGAATGGTGGTCAGATGTTGGGACGTTGAGGTGGATGTGGGCAGATTATGCAGCGGAGCGTTACAGAGGAGATCTATGGGAAATGGTGAGCCAACTAGATGTCCTGTTTTCATTCTGAAGCTAACTTAAGTTGTGGCTGCTACCAGGCATCCGGTGTTCCTTGATGCTATCATTCAGTCGAATGGAGCTGGCTTCGTTGGCACTCGTGGTTCCATGATGTCCACACTAGCTAGCCGCAGAGTACAGTCGTGGCATGACGGAGCAACTCGACTCATTAGATGGGGGTGGCCGGGCGCGGACGACCACTGATGCTGATTGGAATGCTAGAATCAAGACTACTTTGTGGTTCACACATCATTGGCTGCAATGTTCTTGTATTTTTTATTTATGATGTGCATAATGGTCGCTCTCGGGCTCGAATTCACCGCAGGCGAAAGCAACAAAAGCTTAGTCTTCTTGTTGCACAGCACTGGCACCGTTTCCTTCCTGACGGGGATCAACAATCAAGATATACCATAGACACGCAGATACTTTATATTAGCCCACAGCGAGCCATAAGGTGAGCGGTCATGAGACATAAGACATACTAAGACTTGAACTTGAAAGTTTGTTGCAGAGGTGTGATACTCGCTTGATGTCTCGGTAGGGCTCGCAACTGTGAAGACAAATGTCGGACGCATGTGGCCAGTGCAGTCGGTTGTCACTGGCTGTGAGCATTCTTGCTGAAGTGGTGATGGCGAACTGCCTCATGTCTTGGGCGTCTATGGAAACGAGGAAGGTTAGCGTGGTGGAGTGACATAAAAACGCACAATACACGCACCTCTGTAACTTGGAGAAAGATACCCACAACTCCTCGGCCGTGCTCAACACCGTTGACCTTCAGTAAAATGTCACAGCTCATTCCAAGCACCACACCCATTCGAACTTTTGAAGATCATGAGGACGCCATAAGGCAAGTCGCAGTGTTCCCTGACAAACGACGAATGATTACGGGTTCGGACGACAAGACACTTCGTCTTTGGGACTTGAAGACAGGTGTTGTGTTGAAGAAGATGGAAGGGCATAGCGGTGAGGTGTGGGCATTGACGATATCGCGAGATGGTAAAATAATAGCAAGCGGTGGTGATCATGGAGAGGTCATCGCCTGGCACGGAGAAACTTCCGAATCCATCACCCAACCCATCAAAGCCCACTCCAACGTCATCACGTCGGTGAATTTTTCTCCGGATGGAATGGTGCTCGCCACTGCATGTTCATACGACCAGATGCTGAAGTTTTGGTGTACCAAAACGTGGCAGATGCAAGGAGAACCAATCAACTGTGATCATAGTGTCTACCGCGTTCGATATTCGCCTTCTGGTGAACTTCTTGCCATCACAACATACTACAATATCCAAATTTATAATCCAGGCACAAGGGAACGCGTCGCATCTTTGACAGGTCACAAATCATGGAACCTGTCATGCGCGTGGACGCCCGATAGCACACGCCTTCTTTCAGGACGCAGTAAATACATATTGGAGTGGGACACATCAACCTGGCAGCAGGTCGGTCGTCCCTGGGAAGGCCACACTGACACTATCAATGCCATTGCCATTCATCCCGCTGGCACCCTCGTCGCTTCTGCATCTAGTGACAAGCATGTCCGTCTCTGGCGGCTCTCAGATCGACGAACCATCGCCCTCTTCCAGCATTCATCCGCCATGACATGTATCACGTTCTCTGTGGACGGCAAGCACATCTTCAGCGGAGGTATAGATGACAAGATCTCAGAGTGGGCGATACCAAAGGACGCTCATTCAAAGGCGAGTTTCCATTTCTGACTCATTACGCAATTCGAGCATCCTTCAATGTTCATACAGATCCTTGATATCACAACAGCCCGCGATGCTTGTCTGACTGGGGATTTGTCTATCGCTGAAGAGCTCCTCACCCAAGAAATCCACACCAACGAGGACGACTTTACTTCATATGCCAATCGTTCTTTCGTTATGACCCGGAAGCACAACTTAGACCAAGCCCTTGAGGATGCAATCAAGGTGAGATGGACCCACGCATCATTGTCATATTACGAAAGGCTAACTTTCATCCGTGACATAGTCAGTCAACATTAGGCCATCATTGACAGGCTTTATCTCCAAAGGCATCGCCCTCTGCGGAAAAGGTCACGTCCGAGAAGCAAGGGTAGCATTCGACGTTGCGTCGATGTTCACGAACCAAGATTCGGAAACCAACCAATTTCTTCTCCTCATCAAGGTACATTTAATTCGTCTCCCATGCTATCTGCCTCATCCGGTATTCCAGGCCATCGCACTCTTCAACGCAGATCAACACGTGGAAGCAATACTGCTCATCAAAGACCTGGCTGCCGTTTGTCCCAATGTCGATCCTCTCGCGCGTCGTGTCGTGGAAGTGAGTATCATATGGCCACACTTGGTCATAGATCCTGATCTTTTCAACTCTCACGATAGACATATCTACGTGTTCAACTCGGAATCAAAGCTTTCGATGGCGCGCGTCACGATGAAGCCGCTGACCATTTCACCGCCGCTGTCAACTCAGGCACTTTCCCATCAAAATACATTCATTTTGCATACCAGGACTTGACCGTGGTGCGTCAAGATGATGCATACACAATGCTTTTTATAACCTAGTGCTTTGTCCAGCTCTTCGGCTGGGATCTCGAGTCCTTGTTGCTTACGACACACCAGAAACGGTGCCAGGCTTTCATTTCGGCAGGTAAACCCGATGAAGCCCTCGAAGCACACAAATACATGATGGATGCCATTGACGAGACTGTGAAGGCCAGCTGCCTGGATTGGTCCAATGGCGAGTTTTAGTGATGTCATCCGAGGCCATCATACTCACCTGCATTTGACTCAGAATTCAAGCAACAATGTAGCATGCCATGTGCTGCTAACGGAGATTCCGCCCTCGCTGTGAACGATTATGACAAGGCTATCCACCTATACTCGGCGATAATAAACTTGAACTCTGCATCTCATGTTGTCTTTGCAAATCGTAGCAAGGCAAATTTGGGCAAAATGCTATGGATGGAAGCGCTTCTCGATGCACAGAAGGTGCGATGGGAACTATTGTCCCATAACCGATGCTCATTGTAGCGATACGTAGGTCATCGAACTCGATTCTTTGTCTTATCTTGGATACAATTTGAAGCACGCAGCGCTTCATGGTGCGGAGCGCTATGATGAAGCAATTGAAACTTTCCAAACTATGCTTTCGATATTGGACAATGCACCTGATGTTCAGACACGAAGCAAGTCTTTGATAAACCATTCGTTAACATGTTTAACTCTTTCTCCAGAGCTGCGCCAGCAGTATCTCAGACCTTCTGAAGTAGAATGCGCCATCCGATGGGTCATTGATGCCCAACTCGACAACGCTCCGCTGCGTGTACTCGACACCATCACCGGTCTCTTATGCGATCGAGAGACGCAGATAGGCACCTTCAAAATGAGCACGCAGTATAAGGAGCTTGTGTCATCAACAATCACACATGTAGACTTGCACATCGATCATATCGAAGAAGTGGTGAAGAGGTACCTGCAATATGCGATGCTATCACACAGGTGGGAAGGGAAGGAGCCCCTGCTGCAGGATATCCGGGGCAAGTGCGTGTACGAGTCGGAGTTGGATCCAGTTGGCGGCATGACGAAGCTGCGGTCGTTCTGCAAAACTGCTCGTGATGCGGGATATAACTGGGCATGGAGCGATACATGCTGCATCGACAAGAGCAACAATGTCGAAGTCCAAGAATCGGTAAACTCCATGTTCGTATGGTATCATCATTCCGCGCTCACGATAGTCTACTTGTCTGATGTTCCGCCTTCGTCAAAGTCTGGGGCACTGGCAAAGAGCGCTTGGAACACGCGCGGATGGACGATTCAAGAATTCATCGCTCCCAAAGTCATTCTATTTTATCAGAACAATTGGACTCTTTATCGTAATGATCGTACTCCCAACCACAAAGATTCCATCGAAATCATGCAGGAGATAAAGGACGCAACGGGAATAGACCGACCAGCTATTACAGCCTTCCATTCCAGTATGCATAACGCGCGAGAAAAACTTCATTGGGCGGCAACCCGCGTTACCACGCGCCAGGAAGACATCGCTTACTCGTTGTTTGGCGTCCTGGGCGTCCGCCTGCCTGTAGATTATGGTGAGAAGCAGGACAAAGCTCTCGGGCGGCTCCTGCAGGAGATTGTGGCTCGGTCGGGCGACATCAGTAGCCTTGATTGGGTCGGGGAATCATCAGAGTTCAACAGCTGTCTACCAGCCTCCATTGCTTCATACGAAGCTCCGCCATGCCAGCTACCATCCCTAACCAAAGATGAAATTCAGTCATCGGTTTCTTCGCTGCGAGAGACGCCGGCTGCTGATTTCGCTTCGGACCTTTATACTGAGCTTCGGAACACGAGCGCCCCTCGCTTCGCAGCACAAAGGCTGCATCTGCCCTGTATTGCATTCAATGTCACGGAAGTCAGACGCCGGGTGGGTGGTCCAACCCCGGAAAGTCATCTCACATATGGGGTGAAGGCAGACGGACTTCACGACTTACTTATCACCACCGGAGAGACCCTGACTCAATTCGGGCCGGCAAGGCCCACTGAGCAACGATTTCTCCTCGTCCGTCCCTGGGATCGGTCTCTCCTGGAGCTACCTGACTTTCCAGAATTTCCAGAACCGTCTGGCTATGGAGATGATACGGAGAGCGAGGAGGATTATGGGACGCCGCCTTCTTCTCCGTCAGACGACTGGTCTAGTGGTTCTCCTGTAAAACAGGGGATGTCTGACCTAGAATCACGAGCATTGCGGTTGCTTGTTCGCCTTGGGCAGCCTTTCAGCGCATATTTGCTAGCGCAGCAGCGCAGTGGAGAATACAAGAGGATTGCGACGGATCATGATATCATTGGACAAGTCCAGGACGTGGTTTCTGTTGGAGACTCGATGGACATCAGGACCATAGAGATATTGTAGTCGTATGTTTTTGTTTCAAAGTTTTTGGACTACTTTAAAGGTGACACCACACAGCTGCAGCATACGCATCACACACGCATGTTAAATGTGGTTTTCGCACATAAGTAGCAGCTCGGGTACAAATTATGCTCCAAGTCCCGTCACTTCCCTATTGACATCCCTTGACTCAGTCAATCCATAGGGATTCACTTGCTTCAATGGCACGAAGTAAACGATCCGGATCGTCAAGTTCTCGATGATCTTGTTAGACTATCTGAAAAACCGTTCAACAGTACATCGGGATCCTGAACCACGACGAAGTCCGTCCCTGAACCTGCTCAAGCTCGGTGAGACAACTTAGAACATCCCTCTTCGGTGATTAAACGCGTGGCCATAGAGTCGCTTCGCTAATACCCCCAACCGCTCTGCACTTCGCCCCTCAGACTTCGCTCTTCTTCGAGACTTTGACTCTTGCAAGAATCCGAATACGCCGAGCCGCCAGTGTACGCGTGTTGGTACTCTCCAATGAACCAACTATGCGTGCGTCGTTTGTTAGCGTGTCATCAGTACAGCGAGGTTGCTGGATCCGGAGGGGGTTCGTGTTCTGCAGGTGATAGCATGCAATTACATACTCAGGGCTGAAGAAGATACTCGCGTTCAAAGGACCAGCGTTTCTCTATTTCCTCATCATCGTCTCCGGATCAATCATCTGCGCGGCCCTCGGGCCTGGACTGAATGAATATCATAGTTGCGGGCACTTTGAGGGTGAGTATATTGCTAGCGCATGGATTGAAAACAACCACTAGGTTGAGGTAATGGCTAACAGTTTTATCATTTCCGAAGAATGATTAACATTATTGATCACTGGGGCATTTAAATTGTGATCGCCAGGGTGAGCGAGCAGGTGGAGTCCGAGAATGATGCCCAGTGAACGTTGATGATGAGTGATGATGAGTGGTGATGAGAGCAGTCGCGGTGGACAATATCATTTGCTAGCGTGCGTCGAGGCTGAGTAAATTAAGACGAGCCCTTGTTGTTGTCTGGCCTTAATGAGGAGAGTGCTTGGTTGGGAGGCGTCGCATTCTGATTGTAGGTGAGAAGGTCTTAAATTAGCGCGAGTGAAACATGAAAAATAAGTATCATACACAGTGATGATGATGCGAGGACAACAGTTTTGAAAGACGGAAACTCCTCCATTAGGAGCGATTTGAGGTGGGAGAAGAGATACATTTGGTGCGCAGGCAGATGTTGGGAATTGATGACATAACTTATTTGAACACGACCTTACGGAGCAAGATCGCAGGCTGGACTCGTCAAAGCAATCATTAATCATTATTGCCACCTATCACAGTCTTCATCGTGTGATTTGTGACGTGTCGTCAGTCCCCCGACACCAGCGTCAACGACCCATGAATCTTATAAGGTGGAAGCAGCGAGGGGCTGCCTGAAAGTAACCCTCCATATCCGATATGTCTCATCCAATCCTATCAGAATTCGATATCGTTTTTGCTGGAGGTAAGCAAATAACATCTTGTAGTGGATTGTCCTCTTCACACATCACTCTGTACAGGTGGCACTACAGCTTGTGTTGTAGCAGGTCGCTTAGCTGCATATGATCCCTCGCTCAGGATCTTGATTCTGGAAGCGGGTCAACACACCCTCAACAAACCTATTCATGTCCAACCCTCTCAAGCTCGCTTCAACCAAGAACCGACGAGCACCACGGTTACATTCAACATAGGAAATCCATCTCCTCGTCTCAACGGCCGTGCGCCGGCCGTTCCTTCCGGTCGTTGCGTTGGTGGAGGCTCATGTGTGAATTGTGCGTGGCATACTTGCAGCGATGAACAAGATTCCGATAGCTAGACAGCTATGGTATACACTCGCGCGCCTGCTTCGGATTATGATGATTGGGGAGTCGATGGTTGGGAATCTGAAAATTTGATTCCTCTCATGAAGAAGGTCTCAAACTCGTCTTCAGGATATTTGTTCAAATCGCTTATACATTCACTTTATAGCTGGAGAAATACGAGGTGCAGCCCGATTGTCCAACTCACGGCTATGATGGACCTATCAAAGTGTCATCTGGTGGGTGTAAAACGGGTATCTTCAACGAATTCATCCAGGTTGGCACGACTTATCACAAGAGGCACTATGCCGACGATACCGACGATTTGGAAACATGCAACACATACAGTGTAAGCTAATATGTTACTTTCCTAAATGCGACAACTAATCAGATCTATCTCAGCCGTCTCAGAAGTGAGTCCCTTTACTTGTAGGCAATTGCTAATTCTTGGCTCATATACAAAAGATACATCGACGGGACAACCGGAAGGCGTTCTGACGCAGCTCACCACTATGTCTACAACCAAGCTCACAACCCAAATTTACACGTCTGGGATGGAAAGCGCGTGAAGCGTATCATCTTCGAGTAAGCGACCACCTGGGATCACAACCGCAGCAAACCGTTGACAGCTTTTTGAATGATAGGGACAAACGTGCTGTGGGTGTCGAGTTCACCAGCGACCCAGTGTCTTGCCCAGATGCGGACCAATCATCGAGTATTGTCAGAGCATCAAAACTTGTTGTTATCTCTGCTGGGGCGTTCGGTTCCCCGACCATTCTGGAGAGGTCTGGTATCGGTGCTGAGGCGATCCTCAAACGGTGCGGCATCGAGCAGCTAGTGAATTTACCTGGCGTCGGAGAAAATTATCAAGGTGCACTTTGATCCATGTATTCTATGAGCTTGGCTTAGGACGGTCAGATCACTATCTCGTCCTTGTTCCATACCTAGCTGCCGACGAGATCATTACCACTGACGCCCCCTCTCGTGGGGAAAGTATTCTACAAGGTAAGCATTTTTCTCCCCATGATTCTAGCACTTTTACAACTACTGAAATGTAGAAAACCTTGCACAACGGAAAGGTAGCAGCAAGTCACTGATGGCACAAAAGTTGGTGCAAGTTATCATGACTGCTGGTATCGTGCTGAATGGAATCTCAGTGGCATCAATTCGAAAATCAAGTGGCGTCCTGATGACGAAGAACTGAAAGCCATGGATCCAGCTTTTCAACTACGCTGGAAAGAGTTCTTCCAGGACAAGCCAGACAAGGCTGTTGCAATATTTGCTCCTTTTGCGCGGTGCGTGCATATTGTTCAGCTTTAATGATATAAGAATGCTCATGACAGCCAGATATCTTGCACCTCTCTCGAGGCCGCTCTCGAGCATCCTTCCTTCTCGGAGCTACATGACTGCCTGTTGTTATACAGTACTGCTCTCCGCCAAACCTACTGTTCTTTTGTTAATCTTTTCATAGCTTTACTCCGTGTCTGTTGGAAGCGTTCATATCAACGTGACAGAGGACGGCAAAGAACGAATGGATTTTACTACAGGCTTCCTAGATGAGTGAGTGGACGTATTTCATTTAGGGCATTTTGCGCGACCAAGACACTACATGCAGCCCATCCGATATGGTTCCTCTCAACTTCGGGTATAAAAAGACTCGCGAAATTTTTCGACGCATGGCTTCCTACCGAGGTGAAGTCACTGCCGGCCATCCCGATTTTCCAGAACGAAGCGCTGCAGCTTGCAGAGAAGTCTCCGGGCCAGTGGACTTGTATGCGCCTGACATCGCCTACACTGCCGAAGATGACGAGGCGATCGATCGATTCCTCCGCGACATCGGTAAGTGCCCACTTGCCATCCCCATCGACACTGTCACTATAAAATGCCCAATCGAACATCAGTGCAAACGGCATGCCACTCGGTATGTACGGCTGAACCTTTCATGATTCTATATCTGAACTTATATTGTAGCTTGGGACTTGTGCCATGAAACCGGAGGCAGATCATGGAGTTGTCGACGCTCGGCTTAATGTATACGGGGTGTCGAACTTGAAGGTTGCAGATCTGTCCATTTCACCTTTGAATGTTGGCACGGTGAGTACTGAACAAGGAATTGTTGATGTGCGACCTAACGATATACACAGAACACTTATTCGACGGCACTTCTCATCGGAGAGCGGGCTGCGATGATCATTGCCGAAGACTTGGGCATCGATTGCATTTGATTTATATCGTCAAAGGCATATTTAATTATAACTTCCTAGGCCTGATTAGGGCCAGGATTGGGGACTTCTGGCGGGTCTTCGTTGTCGGTTCGCATTTGCCATAGCGTGATGCTGGTCATTGCGACTCTTGTCACAGGCTTGACGGGCCTCGTTCTTGTGTAGAATGTCGATGCATGATGTAAATAAATATCACAACGCAACTCCTCCTGCCACCGACCGAGTGAGCCAATATGTCGATATTGTCATCGTTGTCACCCCCATTAGGGTTAAAGTGCTTTTGCCCCCAACATCCGTAGGACTTGCTCATCGCAACATCTAGCAAATCTACAAAAATAGTGCTCAGACTCGAAAAACATAGACCCTTAAGTCCTGTTCTGAGATGCGATCCATGTGATGGGTTCAGGCCTGAAGGTTTTACTGCGACTTGTAGTGCGACAATGGATATGTCGATCAGCAGGTGACGCCAGAGCCGGCCAGACCTTGATAGGCATCAACATCTGTACTAAACGTTTCTGAATGCACCACTAGTGACATAGTCATTTATGGTACCAGTGAAGGTCTGACCTGTCTGACTTTCGGACCTTCTGCCAGTGCCGGTTGTATCTCAGGATTGAAAAAACGAGGGAACTGAATCAATGACGACTTGTTTCAGTATGAGCGGCCTACAAAGGCAAAGGTTCTACGTGAACCCTGATAACTTTGGCTGTAACTACGCAAGATTCTTGCACTGCAACCTGTTTAGCTTGGCAAGGTAAATTTTATCGTTTAAATCAACTTACCTGGGCCTGAACCCCATTGCTACCACATTAATGGTACTTCAAGTCACAGCCCTCAAGGCCTCATGCACATGCACATGTGGGTCTTGTTGTCATGAATATGGAATCCATACTCCGTCTAAAGCGGGTGCTAATGCAAATGACGTACTATGAATATGAGTTACTGACAGCACCTTATCGCGGGCACCTTCAAGTTCTTTCCATATTTGGGGGGTGCCCGCGACACCCGCGATAAGGTGCTGCGACACTAGTATACTTATGTACTAGAGCAGCATTTTCCTAGTGCCCGTGTGACTTGTGATGGTCAGTCGGAGTCCCCCGATACTGGCGTCAACTACCCATGAATGTTATAAGATGGAAGGGTTGCCTGAAAGTAACCCTCCATATCCGACATGTCTCATCCAATCCTGTCAGAATTCGACATCGTTTTTGCTGGAGGTAAGCAAATCACATATTGTAGTCGTTTACCCTCTTCACACATATGCATCACTCTGTACAGGTGGCACTACAGCTTGTGTTGTCGCAGGTCGCTTGGCTGCATATGATCCCTCTCTCAGGATCTTGATTCTGGAAGCGGGTCAACACACCCTCAACAAACCTATTCATGTCCAACCCTCTCAAGCTTTCCTCAACCTAGCACCGACGAGCACCACAGTTACATTCAACATAGGAAATCCATCTCCTCATCTCAACGGCCGTGTGCCGATCGTTTATTCCGGTCGTTGCGTTGGTGGAGGCTCATGCGTGAATTGTGCGTAGCATACTTGCAATGATGAACAATAATCTAATAACGAGACAGTTATGGCATATACACGTGCACCTGCTTCGGACTATGATGATTGGGGAGTTGATGGTTGGGAATCTCTGAAATTGATTCCCCTCATGAAGAAGGTCTCGACTTCGTTTTCAGGATATGTATTCAAATCGCTTATACGTTCACTTTATAGCTGGAGAAATACGAGGTGCAGCCCGATCGTCCAACTCACGGCTATGACGGACCTATCAAAGTGTCATCTAGTGGGTGTAATATGGGTATCTCCAACGAGTTCATCCAGGTTGGCGCGACCTATCACAAGAGACAGTATGCCGAAGATACTGACGATTTGGAAACATGCAACACATACAGTGTAAGCTATGATGTTTCTTCTCTATCTGCGACCACTAACCAGTTCTGTCTCAGCCGTGTCAGAAGTGAGTCCCTTTACTCGTAGTCCATTCGGTTTATTAGCTCATGTAGAAAAGGTACTTTGATGGGTCAACCGGAATGCGTTCTGATGCGGCTCATCACTATATCTACAACCAAGCTCACAACCCGAATTTACACGTCTGGGACGGAAAGCGCGTGAAGCGGATCATCTTCGAGTAAGTTTCCATCTGAGATCGCAACACCAGCAAACGGTTGACTTTTTTACGAAAGAAACAAGCGTGCTGTAGGCGTCGAGTTCACCAGCGACCCAGTGTCTTTCCCGGATGCGGATCAGTCGTCAAGTATTGTAAGAGCATCAAAACTTGTTATTGTCTCTGCTGGGGCGTTCGGGTCTCCGACCATTCTGGAGAGGTCTGGGATCGGTGCCGAGGCGATCCTCAAACGGTGCGGCATCGAGCAACTAGTGAATTTACCTGGCGTCGGAGAAAATTATCGAGGTGCATTTTGATAAATTTATTCTATGATCTTGGCTGAGGACGGTCAGATCATTATCTTGCCCTTGTTCCATACCTGGCTACCGACGACATCGCTACCCTCTTTCGTGGGGACAGTATTTTACAGCGTAAGCATGCTTCTCCCATGATTCCAGAACTTTTACCACTACTTGAATGCAGAAAGCCTTGCACGAAAGTTGGTGCAAGTTCTCATCATCACTGCTGGCATCGTGCTGATTTGGATCTCAGCAGCCTTGATTCAAAAATCAAGTGGCGTCCTGATGACGAGGAATTGAAAGTCATGAGTCCAGCTTTTCAACCACGCTGGAAGGAGTTCTTCCAGGACCGGCCTGACAAGGCTGTTGCAGTATTTACTCATTTTGCGCAGTACGTGCATATTGCTTAGCTTGGATGATATGGAAATGTTCATGACAGCCAGATACCTTCCACCGCCATCAAGGTCGCTATCGAACATCCTAGCTCCTCGTAGCTCCATGACTGCCTGTTATTATATAGTGCTGCTCTCCGGCTACCCTGCGGTTCTTTTGCTAATCTTTTCATTAGATTTACCCCGTGTCTGTTGGAAGTGTCCACATCAACGTGACAGAGCACGGCAAAGAACAAATGGACTTTAATACAAGCATCCTAGATGAGTGAGTGGATACATTTCATTTAGGGCACTTTGCATGACTAAGACACTCCGCGTAGTCCATCCGATATTGTTCCTCTCAACTTCGGGTACAAAAAGACACGCGAAATTTTTCGACGCATGGCTTCCTACCGAGGTGAATTTGCTGCTGGCCATCCTGATTTCCCGGAGGGAAGCGCTGCAGCCTGCAGAGAAGCCTCCGGGCCTGTGGACTTGAATGCGCCCGACATCGTTTACACTGCCGAAGATGACGAGGCGATCGATCGATTCCATCGCGATATCGGTAAGTGTTGGCATCCCATTTCCATTGTCACAGTGAAATACTGAATCGAATATCAGTGCAAACGATGTCGCACTCGGTGCGCGCGGGTGAACTTTCCATGATTTTATATCTGATCTTTGTATTTGTAGCTTGGGACTTGTGCCATGAAACCGGAGGCAGATCGTGGAGTCGTCGACGCTCGACTAAATGTATACGGAGTGTCGAACCTGAAGGTTGCAGATATGTCCATTTCGCCGTTGAATGTTGGCGGGGTGAGTACTGAACAAAGAATTGTTGATGTGCAATCTAACGATATATACAGAACACTTATTCGACTGCACTTCTCATCGGAGAGCGGGCTGCGATGATCATTACCGAAGACTTGGGCATCGATTGCGTTTGATTTGTACCGTCAGGCGTCTTTAATTATGACTTCCTAGACCTGATTAGGGCCAGGTTTAGGGACTTCCAGAGCGTCTTCATCGTCTGAGATCGCATCTGCCATAGCATGACACTGCTCAGTGCGACTCTTGTCACGGGCTCGACGGGCCTCGCTCTTGCATAAAATGTCACAATGCGACTCCTCCTGCCACCGACCGAGTGAGCCAATCTGCCGGTGTTGTCATCGTTGTCACCCCCATTAGGGCTGAAGTGCTTTTGCCCCCAACATCCGTAGGACTTTCTCATCCCAATATCCAGCAAATCGAAAAAAAATAGTGCTCAAAATCGAAAAAACATACACCCTCAAGTCCTGTTCTGAGGCGTGATCTATGCGGTGGGTTCAGGCCTGAAGGTTTTACTGCGACCTGTAGTGCGGCAATGGATATGTTGATCAGCAGGTGACGCCAGAGTCAGCCAGATCTTGACAGGCATCCACATCTGTAAACGTTTCCGAATGCACCAGTGACGTAGTCATATATGATACTGAAGGTCTGACCTGTCTGACCTTCCAGATGCTGCCAGCGATTGTATCTCAGGACTGAAAAAACGAGGGGACTAAATCAACGGGGACTTCTTTCGGTATGAGCACCCTACAGAGGCAGAAATTCTACGTGAATCCTGATAACTTTGGCTGTAACTTGTAACTACGCAAGATTCTTGCACTGCAACCTAGTTTACCTTGGCAAGGTAAATTTTGTCGTTTAAATTAACTTACCTGAACCGCATGGCTACCACATTAATGGTACTTCAAATCACAACCCTCATGCACATGCACATGTGAGTCTTGTTGTACACGCGTACTGCGTATTATATGTAATAACCTGACTGAAGTGGGTGCTAATGACGTACTACGTACTTAACCTTTTAGGTTCGAAATAATCACGTGATCACACTCGGCCTACGAGAGCAACTTGAATGAACGAATCATTTATCACAGTCTTGTTCGTGTGATTTGTGACGTGTCTCCCTAACAGCCACGGTCCATTTCCGTCGTTTTGCAGATGCTACTTACTAATGACAAGGTTTCTGAGGTCTTTTTACGTTATACTGCTGGTACCTTGTTTTCGCCACGGCTTGGCACCCGAACGGTGGCGGAGTGCCAACAGCCTACAGGTCACTACACACTCGCTTGAAAGTAACCCTCCATATCCGATATGTCTCGTCCAATCCTGTCAGAATTCGACATTGTTTTTGCCGGAGGTAAGTAAATAACATCTTGTAGTGGATTGTC